GCTCCTAAGCACAACAACTGTGGTGGTCACTGCTCTCGATAATTGACGCGAAAATAACCATTAGGATGAGAATGTAATTTACTTTTATTATTCTTTATCGAATTATATTGTCGGTGGACCCAGACGCACCACTACCCGACAAGAGATAGTATTTCGTTTGGTGTTTCCGGTAGCACGTATGTGTCCCACTGGTCTATCGCAGGCTTTAGAACTTGGCTTTCACTTTCCAGCCCGCACAAATGCCCCTGGCAACAGCAAAAGCGACCGCGGAGGCCGCATACAACACGCCTCCGAAGACAATCATGCCCCAATATTCCCCCTGGTTCTGTTGCTGGATAGCACCCGCGATCGGGATGCCCGTCAATGTACCCACACTGACTATCGTAAATGTCGTCCCGCTCCTCTTCCCTAGATCCTCCGTCTTACAGACTTGCGAAATGCACACGGGGGTGAGACTGATAGCAGCACCGCTCCAAAAGCCGAACAATACCGCATAGCAAATTACTGCGGGCATATTCGCCCCTGATGCAAGCCACAATGCCAGGGTAAGCGCCGCACAGATGATTGACGTTCCTACCATCACGTTGAACCTTCCGAGCCGATCTGCTACTAAGCCCGGGAGGAACCGTCCTGGGACAGCGCCTAGATTGAGAAAGATACTTAGCGCGTATGCGAGGGTGTCATCCATCCCAATATGAATCCCGTAGGATGAGATGTAGGTAATTGGTATGAAGACGGCGAATTCCACTAGGAAGATCGCTATTGTGGTTGCGGCATATTTCTTCTCTCGCAGGGCGCGAAAGTCGACGGATGCGCCAACGCTTTTCTCATTCAGGACCCGTGTTTTCAGCGTCAGACATGATATCAGTAAGAGAACAGCACTGATAAGTGCAATAATACGCATTGCCCAGGGGAAACCAATTCTGGGTGCTGCAAAAAGTATAATAACTGGGAATATGACTCCTCCTATACCCCCGGCAGTGCAGGCGATGCCGGTCGCATATCCGCGTCGCACGTTGAACCAGTGCCCAATGCAGGAAACGGCTGGAATAAAGAGGGCACATGCAGATAGGCCACCAAGGACACTGAATGACAGAAATATCTGGTAGAATTCTATCGCAACAAGTCAGCATTATCTGTACCACTGCTGTACGGATAACATGTGCTCCCAACCTTGGCTGAAACTAAAGCCAATCAGTGCTATAACCATGCCGATCGACCCTGGGAGAATAACATAGTTGGGTCCATAGGTATCCAATATTGGTCCTGCTATTTATCAGCAGCCACATAAATTCAAGGTGATTGCAGACTTCACTAACCGGTTTGCGCCCCAGCAGCATACAAGAAGAAGCTGTACGCGCCAAATATCCAGCCAATGCTGGACTCGGAATAGTCCTGGAGCTGGTGCTTACTCGTCCACGCATGGAGAATACCCAGGCAATTAAGCAATCCCATGGAAGGGATCATCGCACACCATGCTCCCAACACCACCAACCAGGCTTCAAGTCCGCCTTCGGGATATCCGTGCCGCATCGTAGTTTCGACGATTGTCAGAGGAGACGCAGACTCGTCTCTCTCAGTCTTCATGGCAAGAATAGGGAATACTTTGGTACTTTTGCAAGCGAGACCTGGAGGGCAAAAAAATGACTCTGGCATGTATTACGCTGGAGGAATTTCCAATGAAAGCCATCGGCCTAATAAGAGACCTAAGACTGCTTTCGAGTGTCAGTGTAAATTTCTTTGAAGAATCGCAAAATCGGCGATTATTCAATTTATGGGACATCTTCCCCGTTCTAGGCCGACTACAAAATGAGCATTCGGAGGTGTTTCTTACTACTAGTACTTAGTACATCATGGAAGCATTTTGTTGATGACCAATAAACCTCGGTGTGCTCGGCCGGTGATTGGTTGTATGTCCGTCTGTGGAGCTGTCTTCGGCGAAAGGGCAACTAGACAATTCATGATTCTGAAGTCCATAGTAAATGCTGTCATGCGTTAGACCAGACACTCATGCCGGGTTGACCTGTGTAATTTCTTGCATGTAAGTCCGGCCATCAATTACCAGTCAGGCAATCAGTACATGTCATCACTGGGTTGGGCCGACCATACTGCCAAGTCAACCCCATTCTTAGAAACCGAATCAGTATATATCCTTGCTGGCAGAACATATCGACTGGGACTGAAAACAGATAATGATAGCGACAAGCAAAGCATATCACTAATGTGAGATCTGTTCTGCCTGGCCCAATCATTCATATCAGCCCCAAATTGGTGACAGATGCGATAGGTGTCCTTCCACTCTCCGACCAAGAGAGAGGTATGTCAATACCCCCGAGAATAGCTCTGCCTGCCCTATAACTTTTTAGATTCCTATTTGGGTATCCATGGTAGGTGTATACATTTTGACGGCGGGAGATATTCATATGGCAATAAAGGCCTTATGCTTTGTGGTACTCATTTGTTATGCACTCTAGTCCACTACATCCCAGGCCGGGGGAGTATTACTGATACTGAGTCTATAATACATGTTATGCCATTTCTGCATATGAGAATGTCTCTCCTTCCATGCTTATTTTCCCTGGCCAGCGTTCTTCATGGTCCACTGGGCAATGTTACCCGGGGGGTGAGCCGTCGCAATGGTCTTGCCAGCGAACTTGCTGATGATGCTGGTGTCAGATCCGGACATGGAGCCGGAGTTACCGAAGGCGTTGAGCTGGCAGGAGCGGCCGAAGACGGAGGCACACTGCTGGTTGGTGTTGGCGTCCGGGGAGCTGAAGAGCTGGCCGCTGATGGGGGTCTCTACCACAGTGTTGACGTCCTGGAAGACATTACCCTCGGCCAGGACGTAACCACCAGTGCCGATCTCGAAGGCGTGGCCATCGAAGTTGTGGAAGAGGTTGTTCACCTGTCGGCATAGTAGTCAGCAATGTGCAGATGGTAGAGAGGGTAAAGACTACATACGGCGTGCAGCAGAGTGTTACCCTGGACCTTGGGCATGCGGCCGCTCAGGTTGTAGAAGTAGTTGCCCTTGAGGGTCACCATGTCGTTGCTGCCGTCCAGGTACACGCCCCAGTAGTGTTGACCGTTGCAGGTGGCAGAGTAGTCGGAACGACCATCGATGAGGGAGTAGGAGATGGTGACACGGTTGTCGGCGCTGGTGCCCAGGACGATGTGCTGGCGACCAATGCGAGCAGTTGTCACATGATCGATCCAGACCAGATCAGAGTCATCGACAGTGATGGCATCACCACCCCAGACATACTTGGGGTTGATGTCGGTGACGGCAATGTTCCTGGCCGTTATTAGCAAGGGTGGATTCACATCCTACGACCGATGGTCCGCACTCACTGGATAATGACGTTCTTGGCGCCGCTGACCACGCGGAGACCCTTGCCCTTGATGACACCCTTGGTGCCCTGTCCAACGATACTCTTGTTGGAGTTGACCGTGATGGGGAGGATACCGGCCTTGTCACTATGCGGCAATCAGCATGGCGAGAGTCTGAGCATCAATCGAACGGGGGCGACATACTAAGTCACGGATACCTTCGGGGCGCTAGCCTGGTAGTTGTCGCACCAACTGTGCAGGTTGATCGCCACCTGGCACTGGGAAGCAGTTCCCCAGGGGGCGCATCCAGTGGTAGTCTCGGTACCCTCGGTGCCGGTAAAGTCGAAGCTGAAAGATCAATGTATTAGACAATTGTCTACCTCTGTATCCCAAATGAAGCATCAACCTACGTTCTGTCCAGGATAATCACACGAGGCTCATTGTCACCCAGGTAAGAGACCAGCTCATCAGTAGTCGTAGGATAGACGGGGGAAGCGCTGCCACCGCCAGTGACGCCATGAGCAAAACCCTCGGCGGCGCCTACAACGCCAGCGGCACTGACAGCGCTGGCCAGGGATGCCACGGCAGCAGCGAAAAGCAGCTTGTAGTGCATGTTGGACTGTCAAAGTATAGAAGATACGAAGGGAAACAAAAAGAAAAATCGGAAAGAATGAAGGTCTTGGGTGTTATCAAAGAACGACAGCCTGGAAAGAGTGACAGGCGTGTAAAAGAAAGAAAGGAAGGCGATATCTTCTTCTGGATGGCATTGGAGAGGGAACGTTTCCAGGTATATATACAAGCCGGAAAAACATGATGGTGGAGCTGGCAGTCAGACCGTCGCCGTTTGGTCCCCTCAACCATGTTCTGGAATGAGACGAGGGACCCGGGGACAGGACCTGAAATGGATGAGAACCCAATCTATATGGCTTGGCAGGCAGGTCTTGGTTTCTTCTACCGGAGATTAACCTGTCAGTGGGTGTGGTGGCTTATATTTTACGATGTTAAAGTAGCGCTACTGCTGCCCAGACATCGCCGGACTCGCGGAACCAACATCTCCAATTTTATCTTCTTGGGTCTCCGAGTCATGACGATTATAATGTGAATGGCAGAACAAGTCAGGAATGAAAAGCCTGCGATAAAGCTTGTCTGCCTAGATGCCGTTAAGATGACAGTCGGAAATCTCTTCCCAAGCAGACCTCGTTTTTCACCGGAGTTCCCGGGTCCGCCCTGAACCCAAAATCTGCTTGGCGGAGCATAGGAATGGTGAGAAGCAGGATAGTGGTCCACTTCAGGATGTCTTAGAAGCAATCCGGCTGGCTTCCGAAGGGGGGGCGGCGTGGAGGTCAGGGTCCCATGAACGGCCCTGACCTATATTATTCAAGGCTTGCTTGGTAGATGGAGAAAAGTGGTACCGGCAGTCTGACAGTGAGACATTGCGAAGAACTGCCCCAAGAGAGGGTTTATTATAAATCTTGAGTCCCAGTGGAAATTACTAGACGCCAAGAAGCCTCAAAAGGGATTAGCTTGGAAGTTACGTGATAATGTTCGGTCACGTTGTAGTTTGTCTTGTTTGTTAGATCTCTTGGGTCACATGATAGAGGATACTCAGCCTCAGGCATCCGTCCATCCACCGCCTCGTCTCTCTCTCTCTTTCTATTCTCCCAAGGATGCCACATTCATCTCCATCCACTATCCCTTGACCATATCTCCCGACGCTTCCTTGGCCAATTACACACTGCTACAAAAGGATAGATATGTCCCCGCTCTCTCCAACTGTACTTGCTGGACTCTAGATGATGCTTGCATACGAGGGTGACCCTGGCATTGTTTGGGGGACGTCAACTCGACGGTGCGTACATTCAAGGGACCAGCAGCTGTTGTGTAGTAGTGTCTCTACCAGTCATGCTACGAAGAACTGGCGTTGGTTTTAGTTTATCCTCATATCTTGAGTCGTCCGTCATTCAGCCCGCGCTGACTCCCCCCGCGCCGACAAAGACGGTGTCTGTTAGTTCTACTACTAGTAATAGTACTAGTAAATATATATTCCCCCGGGGTCACGCTTACTAGCAGCCTGGTAGTAGTATTTCATCATTTCCAACTACCCTTCACAATTCTGACTCCAAATCGAGCAAACAACTGGTAGTAGTAGCACTACTAGTACTCTCATCATCATGTTTCAACTCCTCCCCGTTACAGAGCCTGACCTCTCCTCTATGGTCGAGTTGTGGTACGACGCCTTTGATGATCCCATCAATCGGCGGCTGTATCCCGATACCCCCGGAGCGCGCGCCTGGCTAGAGGACTACCACCGCGCCAGTCTGCAATCCCCTGATCAACACTATCTTAAAGTTACCACGGATCATAGTACCGGGTCGACCTCTCCCCTCGTAGCATTCGTGAAATGGGACTTCAACACCACCTCTCCAGGTCACCACTTTCCCCCGCGCCATGTCGATTTCGACCAGATCTTTTGCGACACGTTCTTCGGGGGGCTGGACCAGGCACGACGGACCATCATGGGCTCGCATCCGCACTATTGTATGCTCCTGTCCTCGATATTCTTCCTTTTTGCTTCTATTTTCTATCATCCTCGTGCCTTTGGTGATGCGCCCGCTAAATGATGACATGTCCCAGATCTGGATGCCCTGATCACCCACCCGGATTATCGCCGGCAGGGAGCGGCATCAATGCTCATCCAGTGGGGATGTAAGCGTGCCGATCAGGACGGAATCCCCATCTGGGTGGATTCCAGTCAGGAAGGGGCCCGGATCTACCAGCGCTTTGGGTTTCGCGATGTCAGTGTGTTGGGGGTGACTCCGACCGGCGCCATGTCCATGCTGCGGGATCCCGTTGGTGGTGATGCCGCGTAGTAGCTAGCAAAGTCTGGGATTCTTCATGTATCTAGCTAATCCGAGCATTTCTATTACCACCATCGCTCTCTTACAATGGTTCGGGCCCCCTGAGCGGCTGCATCTCAATATACTCGGTTCGTAGACTCCACTCGCGCGTCTGGTGGATCACCAACCCCCCGCTTGCCTCCTCCAGATACCCCTCGCACTCCCTCGCTCCCCCGGTCGGGATCATGGTAATCTCATCGTCTGCCGGATATGGACGCGATCGGGCCTTGGATGGAGGGCCCTCACTGGTTTCCGACCGCAAATAAGAGCCATCTTTCTGGCCACCCTGACCCCAGCCCGTGTTGAAGGCTATCACAAACGGCTTGAGGCAGGGCACCGTCGCCGCCATGAGACTGCTGTGCAGGAGCACTTCGGTGGCCACCACCACATTCGACATGTCCAGCAGAATATTGTTTAACCCGACCCGGTTGAGGTAACATTGGCGCACAATGGTAAGGGCGACAATCCTTACTAACAGTCAGCTAATGTCGCCTAGTCATATACGCGGCAACAACAGCAATGAGTGTACGTACACGATTCGAGTGCCAAAGGCACCTATCACCCCGGCCTTTTGAGTGCGACGCATCTGCACTCCCCACACCAATCGAATACTCAGGCCCACCAGAAGGGCCTCTGTGATGATATCGAACGCTGTCATGGCACGCCATCCCGTCATCTGGCTCTCTTAGCATGTATTCTGGTCATCATCCGAATGTGGCAAAGGCGACTGACGAAAGAGTGACATTGCGTGAGATTCCATGGCTGAGAAGGTTCACATTGAAGTCCCACTGCAAGAAGGGAAGCGAGGAACCAAAGGACGAGTACCGCGAGGCCCACAGTGCAAAGTCGTATATAGGCGCCTTCTCGGCCCAGGCGCCGAAGAAGGAGGCAGACAGATACTTTGGAGGCGCCATGGCTAGCGAGGAACAGGAGATTGGCTGTATACAAAGCCTGTCATGATAACCCTAAGTCAGTAACCAAGACAAATGACGCATCCCGATGAGAAGGTAGAACTTGCCTTCATGGCACCCTCTTCGTCGGTCGGATTGATTCGACCCAGACCCTGCGATACACCCTTCATAATGGCGCCCACATTCCCAATTCCTATCGCCTGTCTCATTAAGATCGATCAATTCAGGCATTCCGAGCGGCAATGAGCTCAGGGTTACTTACTCCACCGATCCAGACTACGACATCATCCCATCCAGCCGGTCCGTTCATGGCAACCCGCATATAGACCCGGAACAAGGACACCAGCACCATCCAAGACATGAACAGCGTTGCGGCGATAACGATCGCCCCGCTGCGGTCCGTCGGGCTGATCCCGTAAGGCGCCGCCATGTGTCGACGGGGTGAGGCTTGAGGGGATTCGGGACGATGGACAGAGGCATTGCTGGGGCTGTCAACCTGCCGGGACTTACTTTATAACAAATCAGGCGGCTCAGAGGACAGGGAAGTGATTCCTAGGATCAACAGGTACCCTGGTCGGAATGTCGACTGGGGAGGACAAGAGGGTGAAACAGGCCCAGAAGCGACCACACCCAAATTTTCCGCCTGGCCGTCGGTCGGAAATGAAAGCCAGACGACAATTTTCCATCCGATCCCGGTTCATAGTGTTACGACTACTGTATATTAGACCTGACGTGGCCATGGTTTAGGGAAGGATGGCTACGGTGCTGACTGGCGGTGACCAGCCCTCCTTTGGTAAGGCTGGGATGGGGGCACGACCAACTGACAGGGATTATATTCCATCATCTGAGAGTATAATAACCTGTCAGTTGGACGATGTAACGGCGGGCTACAGTCTAACCGGGGTCCCTGGCAAGTGCTTCGGCGGTGCCATCTCTAGCTTGGGGACTAATGCTGCTAACTGCTGCTAGTCTTGCGAGCCACGGCAGAGAGAACCGCGACGCTGCATCTGTCCCACGTATTGATTAACCCTCCGATCCCCCCTTCATCTTTTTGGCAGCCAAAACTTTTGTTCGATCTTATCGAGCAATATATGTCAAGCAAAGCCAAATCTTAGGATGTGGCTGGAGAAAGGGAGCAAGTCGGTCGCCTACACCACTGCGCCGGAGGAGGGCTCCTTGCCCTCCACCAAGGGCGGAACCACTCAAGATGGCCGCGATATGTGGCGTGTGGGACGTGACCAGGAGTTGAATGTGAGTAGACACTCGAGAGGTGGCTCCAATCCCGGCTCCCCAGCTAACTGGCACAGCGCAATTTTCGATTCCTCTCGGTGCTGGGTTTCAGCGCCGTGCTGATGTGCACCTGGGAGGCTGTGTTATTGTAAGCCAATACAATACGAACAAGGAAGTCTAAAGGAGGTACTGACAATTGAACAGCGGTGCCTCATACGGCCTGACGGATGGAGGAAAAGGTGGAATGATCTACACCTACCTCGGTGTCCTCTGCGGATTCAGTTTCGTAATTCTCTCCATGGCGGAGATGGCATCCATGTGTGATACCCTCAAACACCAAGCGTTGCTCTTTCTCTCCTCCTCCTCCTGTGTGCTTTGATAGTTACAACTGCTCCTAGGAAGTGGCTGCTAACAATTGGCCTATAGGGCCCCTACCTCCGGCGGCCAATACCACTGGGTATCCGAATTTGCCCCGCCCAGTTGCCAGTGTTTATTGAGTTATATCACAGGCTGGGTATGCGTGCTCGGATGGCATACGGGCATCGCTGGTTGCAGCTACACTGTAGCAAACATGCTAGTCGGTCTCTTGGCAATCAACTACCCAGATTCCTATGACTATAAGCCGTGGCACGTTACGTTATTGGTCATTGCAGTAGCGTTGGCTGCACTGCTCTTCAACACGCTGCTGGCACAGAAGCTGCCGCTGATTGAAGGGATAATTTTGATTGTTCACTGCTTTGGCTTCTTTGGTATCCTGATTCCGCTGTGGGTGCTGTCTCCGTCGGTGCCACCATCAGATGTCTTTGGCTCTATCGTCGACCGTGGAGGATGGGGCAGCAACGGTCTATCCTGCTTGGTCGGGGTGGTTGGGCCAGTTTATGCTTTGATCGGTACGTCGCATTGATCTAGAGAAGCGAATTAGATTGCGCCTCGAAGCAATACTGACTGATGCTCAGGTCCGGACTCGGCTGTGCACATGTGTATGTCTCTTTTTGCTGCGACGAGGCTTCTTACATAACCAACTAACTCAGTAACAAGCCGAGGAGATCCGTGATGCGTCGCGCGTATTGCCCCTAGGCATGGTTTGGACGCTGATTCTGAATGGTGCCACCGGGTTCGTCATGATTGTTACTTTCGCCTTTTGCGTGGGAGACATCGACAAGGTCATGGCCTCAACCACCGGTTTTGCCTTTATCCAGGTGTTCCTGAACTCGACTGGCTCGGTGCCCGCAGCAACGGGAATGACAGTGGTCATCATGATAATGCAGTTCTGTGCCACGATCAGCAATGTGGCCACTACATCTCGACAAATCTATTCTTTTGCTCGTGATCAAGGCGTTCCATTCTCTAGCTTCTTTTCTCAGGTGGCGTTCCCTTCGGTGATTCACCATCCCTGGCGACTCATATCATACTGACCCCATAAATCAGGTCAACAAGACATTCACCGTACCATTAAACGCGCTCTGCGTCAGCTTGGTGATTGTCTCCCTTCTATCCTTAATCAACATTGGATCTTCCGTGGCCTTCAATGCCATCATGTCGTTAGGAACGGCCGCCCTGTTGTCATCGTACCTTATCTCCATCAGTTGCGTGCGGCTGCGACGGTGGCGTAAACAGCCTCTCCCACCCGCGCGCTGGAGTATGGGTCGGTTTACTCCGTTCGTTGATACGGTGTCTCTGCTGGTGCTGATAGTCGTCTTCGTCTTTACCTTCTTTCCCCTGACAAACGATACTGCACCGTCCGAATTTAACTGGGCCATTGTCATTTTTGGCGCCGTCGTGGTGTTTGCCTTGGTGTATTATGCTCTCTATGCCCGGAAGGTGTACAAGGGGCCGGTGACGCGGGTGCGGGTGGCACAATAATGGGTATGCAGACAGAGGCGGGTGGACGATTGAGAGACAAGAGGGTGTAAATGGTACCAACTAAAACCAAAAGTAGATGAACTTTGTGCAAATGGCCGTTACAACCGAAGTGAAGAGCTTGGCACCTTAGCCACTCCGGTGCCTGTATCAGATACACTTATTTACAGCGCGGAGGCTAACGCCCCTTTGAATTCGAGGTGGAAAACACCACCATTTAGAGTGGCTGGCTATTATCGACTGAGCTATCCTGCGTCGACCTAACAGAGCTCTCAATGCTCACAAAGTGAAAAGTCGCCTTTTTCAAACCCGTCATTTTGCGGCCCTTGTTTGGCTCGTCTCTCGTCCATCAGCGCCACCCGGTATTCCCGGGCTTCCTCCAGGGTCATGGCAAGCGCGGGGATGTTATCAGACACCATCTGCTGTAGTTCAGCCGGTAATTTCGGCGCAAGCACCTGCTGAATCGCATCCCGTCTCTCGCGGGCCCAGGTCTCTTGCTGCGGTGGTACATTTGCAGTCGAGATGATGCGCCGATGCGGGTCCACCAAGAACAGCGCCAGGATCTTGCGATGGCCCGGCCGCGAGCGGTCTGCCAGGCCAAAGGGTGACACCCGATGCTGCACTATATTGGGAAACGTAAGTAGTCGCCCTTCGCGACAGACCACGCTGCCAAGGTGCTGGGTGATCTGGGATTCCCCGTTTCCGCTCACGTCGGGACCAAAGCCATAGACTGCGTGGATGAATTCATGTCGATCTTGGTCGTAATCCACATCGTACAGAGACCCAGCCCGTTGACGGAAGGACAGCGTGCTTTCAGTGATGTTATGGCTGTCGTAATAGTAGATGGCTGTCGCACAGATGCGTTCATTCTAGCCCGAATATATGTTAGTGGATTCAAAAGATCCCCGTGACTCCCGAAAATTGGAATGCTTACTAGCTGTCCCTCGAGATGCCATGTTCCTCCCTCATAATCTGGCCGCTCCGGAGTGAGTTCAATGTTAGCCAGTTTTACGATCACTTGCAGCCCCGTCTCGTGGAAAGACTGTCGCAAGTGCACCCATCCTTTCCAGGAGGGCTCGGGGGGTCTGAAGCGGCCTGGCTCCGGAAGAGCAATGGGACGAGCCTTTTCCCACGCATTATAGCGCTCTGAAAATTCCTCACTGTCCGAGTCCTCATCTTCCTCGGGCTTCGGTTCTGGGTCAGGGTGTAGCAGATAAGACACCCCGTGGTAGGGAATGCGCTCGTTTCCTTCCTCCCGAACCTGCGTCAAGCTGTGTTCCCAGAGCGGAATGGCCGCATCAATGATTTGCTCCACCACGCGGTAGAGGGGCTCATGCTCTGTCGGGTGCAGGTTGTTGATGTACGAGACAATGCGACAGCCACTTTCTGTACCCAATTCCACATCGCAGGGCAGCCATTGAAATTGTCGGCTGAACGCGCGCATTTGCTCCACCTGCCATCTTCTGTACGGAGTGTTTGCCTCGGCGGATGGCCTGGCCTCTTCCTCCGACGGAACGGGCACGACCACTCCTTGACCAATACTGCCGAGACTGTTGTCCGACGTGATCGAACGATCGGGTAGAATGCGCGTGCGCCCGTAAACCAGTGGAAAGAGCGAAGGGTGAACGAGGTCGACAACTTTCTGGTCTGAGCCGGGGTGGTAGTCCTTTTCATGGGCGGGTATGTTCTCGAGGGGAGCAACGGCTTGCTGCAAGGCCTTTTGGAGCTCCTTCGAAACCGCTGTGTCGGAGCGGACGACCCCGACATCGAATATCGAAAGCAGTCCTTCTTTCTGAAGGTTTCGAGCTTTCCATTGGAGTTCTATGATGATATAGTCCATCATTTGGGGAGTAACGTCTTGACCGGATGCCAGCACCTCCGTCCGCCATCGTGACGTGATGCCTTCGTCGAACACCTTTTCTGCATCAGTCGAATGGCAAGTCTCAATGAATCGTGAGAAGTGGTCATACCTTACGCCACCACTCGGGCTTCTCCGAGATCGTATTCATGACCTGCATCATGGTTATTTCACGCTGAGTGCTTAGATGGCTGCAGAGTACGCGGTTAGTTTCGCCCATTTTGCTGGCTGATACGTAGCAATTCGGGGAGTCTTACCCAACGTAGCCATCATTGATATCTCCATAGTCTAATGCGTTGGGGAAAAGCTCCGTTTCCTATGACGAACGAAGTGTTATGTTCTGCCCCGGGCACCATGTGGCGGGGATGACAGGTATTTACCTTGGGCTGCCAGTTCAAGGGAAGATTGAATCCTGGCAGTTTGATGGGTGAACTAGGCTTCGAACCCATATTGGCCCCGTGTATTGTTTGCTTGATGTCTGACGGAGTGAGGGAGGGATACATATTGTATTATATAGAGTGAGTCACTAATCAGAAGGTCTAGGCAGCCGTCCCGTTAGGCAGACCTCGGCGACTAAGGCAACTAAGTCACTAGTGAGTAGTAGGCTGTTGCCTGTGCGCTAAAGAAACCTGGCTGTGGCGTTAAGGTCCCTTGTGTCTCGCTGTCCCACTCTATGCGTAAACAGCGCCGCGCCCTACATCAATGATCTATCCTGAGTCGGAACAGTCCGTTATTGCATTATATTTATCGTGCCCGGCTATCGTGGAACGAGGTATGAGAAGACCGTGGAAGAAATGCGGGAGATGGGCTGCGACTTCCGACGGAGCCTTGAGCCATGCAGCCAAGTCAGGTGTAACCTACAGGAACCGAGTGAATAATCGCCATTCTGAGGGGGATTCCATGATAGCAAGATGTACCCTATTCTCGCATTGTGGAAGCGATGCGACCGTGGGGCTTGATGATTCTCTCCGTTGCCGTGGCCTAGGACCCACGGCTGCACCGATACGGGGGGGATATCCTGGCGTTGCGCCAGAGTGTCGGCCGGCCAATGGTCGATTCAGCTCTCTGTAAACGCTCGAAAGTGGCCGGCAACGTGTTGCCAATGTGGTCAAACTCCTACAGAAATTGGGCGCTCTAGCCCGTCTCTTGCGCAGCATGCGAGAATCTGCCTCATGGACAGCAATAACGTGGTCGTCATACTGGAGTAGCTACCGCTGCAAAACGAGCCACTGTCGAAGGTTTATATCAAAGACAGAAAGAATGGTGAAGCCCAGTTCAGTTGTGCCCTGACAGGTGGGTATACAGTATTGGGCGACCGCAACTACGTGATGCTGGTCTATGAGCAATTTAGAAAAACAAGAACCGGAATCGCCGGCTGGCCCCCGAGGTGGCTGTGGTTGGAGACACCGTCGCGACGGAGACACTGGACGATTCCTTGCTCGGGAGAGTGGCAGATGGGGAGCTGGTGCCGGTCACAGCTGTCACCGTAATGACTGCAGAAGGAGTGGGATAAACGGTGAAGCTGGATGCCGTCGTCGTTTCCGGGCCGCCACCTGGGCCTTTGCCTGGACCATCATCTGGGCCATCGCCGAAACCACTACCAGGGCCATCGTTTGGACCATTCCCAGAGTTGTCGCCCGAATCGCTGTCCCCATCCCCATCATCTGTGTTGTTGTTGTTGTCGCCGCTGTCGATGTCATTGCCCGTGATATAGGTCTGGTGAACGGACCAGAAGCCATTGCCTCCACCTACATGCGTCGCAATTCAAGCATTAGTGATATGAGGTGCCTTAGAGTGATGAGCATGGAATGGCGACACTTACAATGGTCCTCTGGAAATCCTGGGCAGTTGACATTGCACTCTGACTGGGAGACGAGCTTCGCGCTCGGAGGCAGCGAAGAGCCACAGTAGCAGTCAACGCTATTTGTGGTAGCAGCGTATCTCGCACCATTACGACCGCAAGTACTTGTGCATAATCCCGTGGATTGAAATTGACTGGAGCCCTTGTTCACCAAGCTGCCGGAGGATGAGTAGCAGCCCACGAAACCGTTAGATAGAGCGTGCGCGGAAAGAGAGAGCGCCAGAATGGCGGAGAGGCTGGTAACCTTCATGGTTGGCAGCATAAAGAATGACTCGTGGGTATTCCCCAGTAGCAAAAGACTGAATGCTGGTTCCGCCAGGAGAGAGGAGAAATAAAACGAGAGAATTGGTGGATGAGGGGGGTGTGAGAGGATAGCGAAATGCGACAGCCAAGTGTTTTAAGGGACTCATGAACAGCGGACCCTGAAAAGACCCTGCGATCCTGGTCCATCCTGTGGGTGAATTTTTGGCTCCCAAGCAGCCTGGGAAACACACTAACAGCACTAGCTCTGAAACCCGACGTATCAACAGCCTGCCCTGATCGGAGAAGACCCACGAGCCTCGGAGAAGTCTGCTTGAAGTTGGGTCGGAGAGCCCGAGTTTGGCCTGGGGGCCCAAAATTTCCACTAAGTGGGAATGATGGCTTATCACTTCACGTATTGTTTACTCTTGGGGACAACATCGCGCGAGGTATCATCCTGTTATCGCGAGTTTCCAGCTTACCCTTTTTGAGTTTTTCCGAATCATGGGTTAGTCCCCACCGCTGACCGGTCTCCCGCCGGCCTGACAGCAGGGGAAAATGAAGAGGAATGATAGATGCGCAAGTCCACGACATCCCGACTACATTGAAGTAAATTAGAGCAATCGTTCGTAGCATCAACGCTGCTCTTTTGTGAAAGATCTCTGGTCTTGGATTGAATAAGGAATGATTACTGTTAAACATCTCTGGTTAACGGGCAATGAGAGACCGTGTGGCCTTTTTCATGGTCTGCAGTACAGGACTTCATCGTTCCAGACCCATGCTTTGGACAGACTGGTGGCCCAGTGGACCTTCCGTTGGGGACCTTAAAGTAATTATGATGTTATGAAGCCGGAAAGTGATTTCTCGTACTTCTGAACCGTTCCGAGGCACCAGATGTTGAGGTCATTATGAGCGAGGAGGCCGGGATTCTACTCACATATAAAACCCAACCATAATACAAAGAGTTAAATTAAACAGCATCTTTAGCCGCACGATCGATATAAAATGCAGGATCCTAATCCAGATTGGCCATATCTTGATGATGAGCGTTATGCATATCCACTGTATAAGAAGCATCCATTCTGCTACATCTGTTGCAACCTTCTTTCATGCAACCCGTCGGAGTACTCTCCTGGTCACCACGCCTACTCCAAACCAAATGCTGGGCAAATATCGTACTCAGCCCGTGAGATAGATGATTTTTACACCTTCACTTTTCCTGGATGGCGCACCCTGTACCGGCTCAGTACGTATCCTCGGGCAGCAAAGATAAGCACCTTATTTGGTTCACTCTAATATTTCCAGTCATGTTTAACCCTAAAACGCGATGCTACAGGATATCCGGGATCGCTCAGAATTACTGGCCGTGTAGCACTTTTCACGCTCCGTGGAATGAGAATAACGGGCTCCTGTCTGTCGGAAAACACAAGAGAATCTGGCGCCATGGGCTGGCGGCACCTAAGCTGATTCAACCCAAGGTGAATATCGAGAAGCAGACCACCCTGGCTGGATATATGGTGCACGCTATGTGCTGGAGAGAGCTGCTCCGGGTCATTAAATGGCCGCATACAGAAGAAAATCTAGGCATCCTCTCGCATGCGCTGCGAACACGCTGCATGAAGGAACGTTTAGATATCAGTTATGACGAGCCCGTGGAATCGCAGCTACTGATGGATCCTAGAGGTGAGTATTCATATACGCAATTTGTAGTTTTGATGAGATAACACGCTAGACAATCCAGATCCCATCGGTATGACATCTGTTCGACGATTTGTAACTCGATGCAGATCTAGAGCTACCAGGATGTCAAAGGTGAGCCATACATCATGCTCTACTGATTCATGGCTCATCCGTCTTCCGTTGGAGCTGCAATACATGATCATGGATAATCTTGAGTTTGACGATGTAGGCTCGGTGCTGAAAGGCATCCAATGGTCAGTAGACAACGGATATTGGAAACGACGGCTTAATCTAGACCTGTTCAGCGAGATACGCGGCATTTTACATGAGGATTTGGACTGGCGGTGGCTCTGTTTGAAACTGGAGGTTCTTGAACACAGTCAAGCGGGGACAGATAGAAAGCGATCTTATGAAATACTGAAGGAAATCGGGATTCGGTATGGACTGGTAAAGGCTGATGTGCAGTGTGGTCTTATTGGAAGTCGTCCCCATGCTCCATGAATGTAGGGGATGATAACGAATAACCCTCTTTGTTGTTCAAGCCAATGACCGCCACCTAATACCACCAGAACCTGGCCATATGTTTGTATGTTACGGAGTGTTGTCTTGAATCTTGGACTATTACGAGGGGAAGCAATGCGCATCCACAGTTACTTATATGGTAGCCGCGCCGACAGCTGAAATCTTTCCCCACCGTGAGCATAGTGGTCTTTTTCGCAATTTGAATATCACCTAAGACTTGCCTGAGAATCAAAACAGGACAGTTCAGAAGGCAGTGATCCATGATATGAGACTAGAGGCCCTCTTACAAAAGCAATATAGTACCAGTGGCAGCGTATCCACCAGGAAGGCTGTTATATCGCCTGGGAGCCAAGGGTTACGCTGGCCCATAATGACATGAGTATCCTCATTGGCATTGGGTAAAGGCGTGTGCAGATCCCTGAACCCCTAGCGACGGTGCCACAGTTATCTTCTGTATCTCCCGCTTCTCCAACTGTGAAAGGTCCGTCCGAAGATTGTTCCAATCAATCAGCTCACCTTTGGGAACGGTAAACTGACCTTGTTTTAAAGAATAGCATCCCTCATGAAGTGTTACTTCTAGAGGATTGTATGAAGGACTTCAAATAGAGTATCCAGTCAAGTGGCCGTTCCGTGACAGTGAATGCTGATCATTGGAATCTCATCAGAGTCAAGATTTTACCCTCAGCTAAAGTTCACTGCTCAACACGTGGACGTTGCCTCAACTTTTGTACCACAGAATACGCCAGAATAGGAACGTAGTGTTTCTTCATTTCTTTGTGCTTCTATGCTTAAAGCATAATCCTACTTTTTACAGTTGCGCCTTCGGGGGCCCTTGCGTGGCGTGAGACCTGTTCCTCTTTATATTTCAACTTAACCAACCCAGGTAGTTGTCGAGGACTAACAAAGACAACTCTTCGAACATACACCGATCTTCCAAAAAGCCACCACCAAAGCATTGAGCGCCTCTATAACCAGCTCCATGAACAGCAAGGACTGCAAACCCATACTCAACGTAAGAAACTATTTGGAACATACTTCGCTTGTGTGGAATGCTCACGTCTTTCCGAAGATACCCCCGCATGCGTGAACAACACTAGTCAGGGGCGAGGCTTGGCTGCATACGCGATGTGACAGTCACTCCATACGAGACAAAAGCACTGAGTTTATGAATGGAGTATGGAGTAACAATAATTACAGTTTCTTTGAAGGCACCCACGAGCCAAGACACTACGCACCTATCAAGGAACCATTGCTGCTCCCTGATTTCCCCTTCCTCCGTCAACTTGCTCCTTGTGCATAATGCCCTACGACGAAGATGAACTTGCGTACTCGAGGCTGTCTTTTCCTGATCCTCTCTCTTGGCTTTGCTTACGGGCGGGCCTCTATCACTCCAGGCGTTACAGAAATCGACTTGATCTTTCCGCGTAACGACAGCTATTCCCCGTCGCCTCTCACTCCTATCATGTTTGCCATCCAAAACCCGAGTCTCCTGTCAAGTTTCAACCCGACGATCTCCTATAGCATTGAGCAGGAAGATGTCGAAGCCAAGGAAAGTTATATTACCTCGGGCACGATCCACCTCGTGAACACCAATTATACGAGAAGTGACCCTTACTTCCTCTATTGGAGCGTCGGGAATCTGGACATTGAAGGCACCTTCGTGTTTGCCTGGGAGCTTCGGATGTTCAACTGCTCCCATTCCCCGCAGAGTGACGCTTTGACCTTCGGATATCTTGACACGCTCCGCCATCAGTTGCACTTCTCGATAAAGAATGGCACTTCGCCACCACACATCGCCGCCGCAACCAAGGATAGTACGTGCGAGCAGTCTATAGCCCAGGCTATACAAGTCCCAGAGTTGTTGGACGTGTCGCCTACGCGAACCTGGGGAGCACCATCCTGTGCACCGACTGTGGGCCCATCCCCGACTCCCAGTCCTTGCGAGGTCAAGATCGATTCCACAGCTGCCGCAAGTATCTCCTTGGCTTTGACTTCCAGTGCCTGTCGTAATCCTCTCCGCACCGGGCTCAGTTGCCCAACTCCATCCCCTGAGAGTAAGGCCCCCGCGACGCAATCGCCGGTCGGAGGGTTCCGGATCTTGGCAATGGGAACGCTTCTCGCTTACAGTCTTGCATGACTAAACGGACTTTCGTGCCGAGGCATGCTGGTATTCTCTTGAATGGATAATGCAAGTTGTTTAGAATCAATACAAACTATTACAATATCCATTATGCCCCTTTTCGGAATTCTAAACTATTTTACTCATAAATATAGCACAGGGGAGTCCCAGCCGTGGTGTCCAGCACATCATAAATCTCTCGCGAGACCGTCAGGTTACCCATGTAGAGAAGGTCATGAATAGTAGCGTTGGGCGATGCAATCAGACCATCAATAAAGTCGGGTCCCTTGACGACGTACGTGCGGTTAGCAGGGTTCAGGTTCTGCCAGATCCAGAAGACGCGATCAATCATAGCGTGGTGGACATAGAATGCCGGATCACCGGGAGAAGCGTACAGATCCTGCAGAGTTGAGTTAGCTCCATCACATCGCAAGTGAAAAATATGCAACTTACACCACCCGGATCACCACCAATGGTGAAGTGACCAGCCGTGTGAACGCCCAGGAAACCTTCCTCGAAGAACCCTTGCATGGTCCACTCGAAGCAGGAGATGTTATCGCACTCCTCAATTAGGCTCGTGACATCACTAGTCTTGGTCCAGCCCAAAGCTGTCCAAGGAGAGATATCACGACGCAGGCAACGGGGGTTGTAATCCAAACCGCTGCCGTTCTGGGCTACGAGGCCAGGGATCTGCAGGGTAGGATCAACCGGTCCCAGGTTGACGGTCATGCTGATTATCCACGGTTAGAATTCAATCTCAGAGTGAGCTAACGGAGAGGACTCTTACTTTGCGAAGGGGCCGTTGCGGACACAACCTCCACCCACACCCGGCGGGATGGTGGTATAGTCAGTCGCAGGGGTGCCGTTGTGGGGAACGAAGTCACCGTTGCCAGACATACTGTACTCGGTGCCGTCAAAAACGGGCGAGTTGATGGGGTTGGCGGCGTACTTGTTCCATGCCCAGTATGGCTGGTAGCCATCGTAGCCACACTCTGTACGCAGAGCATTCTCATAGGCCCAGGTGAAGTAGCGGTGCCAGGTGAGGAAGTTGCCCTAGGTAGTAATGTTAGCAGTGTTTCAATCGGTCTTGCTTGGCAGTCACTACACACCGTGCCGTGGATATACAGCGTCTGATTAATGTGAACCGCCACGAAGTCATCATAACGGTTGCGGACACCAGGAGCCCAGTTCGGGTCAGACTTGGGGGGCTTCGACATCAAGCAGAGGACAGCATCAGTGTACTTCTTGCGGTCCTCCGGCGCGAGGGAGCCCCTGTATGAGAGGTATTGTCAGCTTCGAAGCCGGAGAAATAGTCGATACCAGTGGCTTTTACCATTCCTTGCGAACAGCCGCATTGTTGATGTTGCAGCTGGAGTTGGAAGAGCCCTCAGCCGCCAAATAGGCACGCTTGGTGGCCAAGGCCTTGCTAGCCAGCACATCGACAGCATCTTGCGTGTCTGCCGACACAGGAGTGATAGTCAGGGCTGCAATAGCAGCAGATAGGAAGGAGAGACGCATCCTGCTTTGTCGGTGCAACTCGCTGGACCAGGGGAGGACTTGGTGTCAAGCTGGAGTCGTTCAAGAGGGACACCCGGTCCGCCTCGACCTCTATATACTGCTTTTCTCCCCACCACGTGCATAGCTGCAGGCCAATTCAACGACTATCGGCCCATTTTGGCGAGGTGCCATTCGGAAGTCGGAAGGCTAGCCCTCAGACGATTGGAATAATAGATTGCACGCCGTGGGCGCGGTCTAGTCCATGGCTAGCAGTGTTTTCCCCTAAGCGTGGTGGGGAAGGCTGAGCAGTAGTGTAGTCTTGCAAGTTGGCCATTGGGCCGTTGAAGGAAGGGTTAATATAATGAGCACGCTAGCAATTGGAGAAACTACTCCGGAGTAGACTGCTGGCAGGTGTTGACAGTCTAGAATGATGCCAACGATACTAATCCGCTTCGTGGCGGACCGGCGCGTCTCTAAGCGAGGCCAAGTGGGGACTAAGGACAGGGTTGAATGACCCACGACTGACAGGCTCAAAGGGATTTATTTGGCTTTGTGGGGTGCATCGAATCATCACAACCATATGCGCTATTCAAGAAATCCTGATGTGTAGTGCTGTGAATAGATATTGAAGCCAGGGTTATCTTTGCATGACAAGGATCCACCACCATCCCACGCGTGGCAACGGAGAAAACTGCCACACGAGGCTTCGGATGTGGATACATCGTTTGAAACCGGCTTTGCTGCCAAGAGACCCCGTTGGAATCGGGGCAGCCGCCGGAAGAGGTCCGCGGAGCACTAGAGAACTGGTCGTGTAGTGGTGACTGGAGATTTAATCTTGAGATGCTCCGTGAGAATCCCCACCGTCAAATATAGCCTCACCGGGTGGAGCTCGCCAATCTCCGACCCTCCGAACTGCCTCCGATTTCCCGCTGGGTTGCGTCCCTCGAATGTTCATTCTCTGGTCTGTGAGTCGGCTCCTACCCCAGAGTGATCGTCGCGATCAGCTCCCTACGTACCAGCGTCTTCCACATGGAACTCCAGTGATAGGCAGTGTGAGCTTCTTGGCAGATCATTGGCTTAAGAGAAGTGTTTCTCGCATCACTGCTATTCTGTAACCTTCGCAGTGAATTTTCTTATTGTGCTACTATGCCGTGTGCAGAATGCCGGAGATTATCGCTTACTCCGTCAGCACCCAAACCCTCTTCGATGACACTAAATTCCGCGACACCCCTGCTAGTCGCCTGGAGATTCCGTAGCGTGGCTCCATTCTGACTTTTCTGAATCTTGACGTTTGGGTAAATTAATCTATTACCCTTCCGCCCGAAACTCGGCGCTGATACGACTGGTGGGATGGGTCGTCCTCTCCACCCGAAATGCCAGGGGTATCCATTTGTAATAGACTCCCAGGAACCAAAGCCTCCTTCGAGACCCAGGCGCTATTTCTGCAAGTGCCAAGTCGGCCTTTGGGGGCTTCCACAGCTTTGTGCAGTGATGACAGATCTGTCGAAAGTAGAAAAGGCCGCTGCAAGGCATCCTCGACACGGGAAAATGGTTGCGTCGAGCTTCAGTCCGTCCTTCGTGACAGGGCCAGCAGTTCGCGGCCAGCATGACTCCTCTTCCCGGCAGAACCGGTGACCCACGGCAGATACTCTGGCTTCGTGATGAGTCGGGTGGCTCCAATGCCTCTGGAATTCTCGCGGCAGTTGGCACACTGACCGGCCTGTCAACATTGGTACTGTGGCTCCGTTGCTATGTGCGAGGGTATCTCCTGCGACGATTCAACGCAGAAGAGTACATCATTACCGTAGCGTGGGTGAGTCATGTGCTCTATTCCATCGCGCATTCGAGTGCTTCTTAACTTACAGGTAAAATAGCTGTGCGCCGTTGGTGTGCTAGTCTGTTTTGTGCTGGAAGCTCAACACGGTGTGGGTCACTTCAGCAAAGACATCACCGATGAAGATGAGCAAGTCTTGTCTAAGCTGGTATACTATCATTCAATTATTGTCATGGTCGGGCTTAGTCTTGTGAAAATTTCCTTGGCTGTATTCTTGCGACGTTTCTCATCAACTATTTTAAGCAAGGCGCTAGTTGGATCGATCAGTGGGTGCACCTTCGCAAATGCTCAAGGCTATGTTCTGGGTGATAGCAATCTAATGAACGGCAGTTTTTCTGGTGGCATTTACCATTGCCTGTGGTCTTACACTGATTCTACAATGCATTCCTATAGCGGCAGCGTGGGATACAAGCTTGCGACCTCATGCCCGCTGTTTCGACAATGATACTTATACAGCTATTGGCCTCTGGAACAGTAGTAAGTTTGGCATCACCTTTTCGGAGGTGCAATTTCACTTTTCAAGTCAATTTATCTTATAACTTGATTAGTTACGAACCTCGTCACCGATGTCATCTTTGCAACTTTGCCAATTCCCCTTTTTATAGGGATTCAGGTCAACTGGCGAATCAAGTTCTCGCTGATAGGAGTGTTGAGTCTTGGATACCTGTCAGTCATCTCTACTCTTTCTCCAATGGTGGTTACTGACCGTCGACTAGTGCCTGCGTCGCGGGAATTGTCAAGATCATTTCGCAGGTCAACGTACTAAAAGAGCAAAACATGTATCGGTAAGAGCTCCCGCGGGACTACCCGACAAAGAGTGCAATCTTCTGGAGCTAATCATCGAAGACACGACACTTTCATGATTTGGAACTGGTGGGTGACTCCTGAAGCCCAGACTCCGGAGAAAACTAACTTGTCATCTCTAGTGCGGAGCTAAATGTCGCTATTCTCGCCGCCTGCCTCCCTAGTCTCAAGCCTCTACTGAAATCGGTCCTCGATGGAACCCGCAGCCTGACCACAGGGCGTCGCAATACCTCTGCCTACCGCTACGACACCCAGGGATATTATGTTCAGCGCAGCACCGACATTGCCATGAAGTCAATGCCCCGAGTACCACCGACTGTCTACGATGTCACAGCTGCAGGAAGCTCCGACGGCGAATCCGGGAACTGGAGAGAAAGTGACGAGCAGAGGCTGCATCGGACTGAGACCGGTATCATGAAGACGACGGAAGTAGTGATTCAGACACATGGAGACTAGTATTATTTCATTTGTACATTTCGGCCTTCTGAATATTACCCGGTTTACATTCGGCTTCCTGGACCCTTATTCAAGCCCTACTCCATGTGTACTGGTAGACCCCAGTCTAACATTTCGCAAGCACAAGTCTCAGTAGCAACCCGAAAGCTCGACGTATAGGAAGATTCAATTCAACAATAAATCACGTCTCTCATGTGTCGCCAACCGATTAACGGTACTAACTATCATATATTTCTGTCTTATGTCATGGTAATGACACATATTGGACGTGAAGTCATTGGTCGGCAGTAAAACTCTTACAGTAAGATTCACAAGCCAACCACAGTCCTCCAGCCAGATTACAGAGGGCCGCCTCGAACATGAGGTGCTTGCTATCACATAATCATTAATATAAGTATACCTTCTAAAGGCGGCGCAAGTAAGACTATATATTATATCTATCTTACAGATAAATAAAGCTTATATCAATAGTAATCAGCAATTTTCAAGACATCATAGGCCGTTGACATAAGTTCCTGGGAAGTTATAGCTAGTTACAAACCATATATTTGGAGGAGGAGGAGAAGAAAAAATAAAATAAAAATTAAAAAAGTTAAGATTTTGTACGAGGTTTTGGAAAATTACTTATATTATAATCTGATTATTTATTAAAATCTATATAATGGAGTTAGCAAGAGACATAGCTGACATACTCGAACATAAGATTAAAGAAAAAAAAAAAAAAAAAAAAAAAAAAAAAAAAAAAAAAAAAAAAAAAAAAAAAAAAAAAAGGAATAAATAACGAAAACATGTCAGATAGTAACTTAAGAGCCGTTATTATAACTGGGTGATTATATGCCACTTTTGTGTAGTCTAAATGATCGTAAATACCTTCTGATGATTCATTCACAACACGGGATTACTTTTATAAGCTATTAATTATATATGTATTATCTTCATTATGTTCCCGCTTAGGCCGCTATAAAATCTGGCTTTAGAGAATATTTGTTGAACTGTGAAAAGGAGCAATGGTGCTTTCACGGGGTGGCATAAATGTTGTTGCTCGGAGCCCTTTCCTAACCGCGACAATGGCACTTAACAGACTATGGATAGAGACAAAACCATTGCAAAGACCGGACTGTTGTCCGTCTTGCATTCCCAAAGTAAAATAGGAATAATGCTCAAATGCTCCCGCACATACTTTTGCACATTTTTGTGAAAACAATCAGAACTCCATTCAAATACGAAAGATATGAGGCCGATATTATGATAAGGAGGCCCAGTGGGAATTATCCACTGAATAAAACCTCTCCTAGACATATTAATAAGGCATCGCTTCTGGGGACAATGATTAGTGGTTGTGGTGGCCGTTGCGACGGTGTACATGAGAGGCTTGAGCCGCCAATGGTGTAGTAGTAGCGTCACTTTCGAAGTTCGTATATTGATGTAGAGTATGCTGCGGTAACTTTAGTTCGGTCAGTAAAATCAGTCCAAAGGTTCAGGCACATGATAGAAGAGCAAGAAATATCATACCACGGATGAGAGCAGAACTGAAGATGGAGTAGGAGAAGATGAAGGGTAGATGCTGGTATGAGGGAAGACAGGCTTCTTTGTCTCACGTGCTTCTTCTGCTTCTGCTCCTTCTTCTTCTACTACACAGAATCCGGAGACGAAGAGTGGGTTAGACGAGTGGAAGACAGGTTGGTCGCGATACAAATGACATTCTTGTCCAGAAGTAGAGTACAGCCATGCTTGGCACTTAACTAATTCCGCACAGCGATCAGCGCATGCAGCAGTGTTTGCGACGCCATATGAGAAGCTCATCGGAGCATGACTGAAGAAAGTGATCGTGTTGTTGACAATTGAGTGCCTACAGGCAGTTGTTGAGGACGACTGCGGCGGTGCTGATGTCCATGCGGATGCTCTCGTAGAGAGCAAAGCAGTTATAGTTGAGAGGGCGAGGTGCATGATTGAATATTTAGGAATGAAACGGTGCTATAGCAATAACATAACAAGATTCTGTGCTTGTACTGTGACGGAAAAAGACAGGGAGACTCTCATATAAGAAGTGGAAGATTACGAAAGGTGCAAATAATGGGGGATGAAATATGTCCCTGTCAGAGACTCGCAGGGCCATCGTAGTCTTGCTAGATAACTCGGCCATATACCGACCGGACGAAAATGGAAGGAACTCCTAGGGCGAAAAGGGTCCGAGAAGCTTGCTAAGATTCATTAAGCTAGAGAAGTCGCTAATTGGTTCTCCACCTACTTCTGACTCAAGGTCTCAATGAAATGTAGTATTGGGAGGATATTCCGGCCACTTAGGGCGGACTTAAGGACTGGTGATGTTTTGGGTCATGGTCTGTACGGTATTTTACAACGGCGGGTCATTTAGTCTTCCAATAGTGGCACGTCGGACCCTTGGACCGCATATCGGACGGCCCCGCACCACCAAGGGAGTAAAGCAGGGGAGAAAAATCTACCCCGGCACTAGCCAAAAGTTGGACTTCGAGCGCTGAGCTAGCACGACGGGGGAATGAACAGAATGTGTACGAAGAGAAGGACAGGGGCTCGCGTTCGAGAGTCAACCAAGTGAATGTCCCTCTTATGTTGCCGAAACACAAACCTACTTCCTCCAATGAATTTTGTCTTCACTGACTTGATACCTGTTCCTCATCGCAATAATGGACGTCAACAAATTTCCATATGAGCTTCTATCCATCATCAATTCGTATGCAGCGGATTGGGTTGGCTTTGAAAGTCTTTTGGAAGTCTCTCCACAGTTAAAGGAGCTTTTCAGTGATGACTCAGACACCAAGGCGGATATTGAAGCTGTAGGCCTGGTGGAATCGATCCTTCAGCAGAACCCTGTTATGCGCTATGAATTGCATTCCCTGTTTCGGATGGTTCTAAAACTTCGCCAGCCTTCCATGGCAAATGTCAGTCTTGCTGAGTTCATGGCTCAGGATCACTCTTCGTCGTTGATGGTCTCCTTTCCTTCAGTCTCCCGAGTCATGCTCAAGGAGCTGGTGGGCATTGCGGCCAATATCCAAAGGCTTGCATGTGCCTGTTTGACAACATTTCTTCATCGTGTTCGAATGGTTCAGCCACGGTGTTGGGTGGAGGACAAAGAAGAAGGCACTGAGCCATATCAGCCGCGAGAGGCTGGCCCTTCATCGTGGATCGAGGAGTATCGAGTCTATCGTGCACTGTGGCACCTGCAACTGTATTCCGACCTCTCTATCGCTGGGCGGCGATTGAACTGGCCTCAATGTGATCTCGAGGACTGGTGGTTCGAACAGATGAAGTGGGATCAAGTACCCGTTGTGCTTGGAGAAGAAGTCCTTGCGATATCGGAATGCCTGGAGGCTTTGGACGGAGTCTGTCCTACCCTCCACACTACAAAGGGTATGGCGACTAGATTCTACAACGAGAAGCACCTTTTCGAGATACACCTTATATCTCAGCTGCCTAATGCACGGCAATTGAGGCATGAATTTGACACTTGGGCCCCTCCATCTCCCCCCAAAATTGCCGACGCTGAGGAGACTTCCCGTATGGATGTTTGGGGCCAGGGGGTTACATCGATCCACCGTAACCGAATGGCCACTATCTTCCGAGTGTGCCAGCTTCGGACAAGTACCCATCCCGCTAGGCATCAAGTCTGCCAAATTCAGGACTCCCGTCCTTGGCGGGGACTAGGTATGCCAATCTGGGACCTCTGGCGTTGTTACTGTTTGGGACTATACGCAGCTAAATATCCCCGTGGGAGACACCGTGGTCCTATTCCGGCTCCTGACGGGTCATCAGTTCCTGAGGGCTGTTCTCCCGCTGACTGTGGATTCGAAATCGATTACCGGATTTCGGTTTTTCTACATGCGCGGATGCAGATGGAGGACAAGAAACGAAAGGGTATGGTATCAAAATAAGAGACTCGGTCGACCATTAGATACTATCAAATTGCACTTTATCAACCTCGAAGGCACCTCTTTATATCTGTGTGCGGCTCCACTGTCTAACTAGCTTTGTATATAATCACGTACTGAATTGGAACATCATGTGGTACCAAGGCTCCGCCGTCCCATTTGCACTCAATCCCGACGTCGTCCAAGCTATGACCGAGACTGGCATTTTCCTGCTCAACTGCTGCTTATGATTGATGAGAAGCCAAGCAGCCCCTCCACCATTTGGTGTCCCCAGCAAAGCCAATCCATTCTGATTGATCAGTACCCCACCTTTCTTCTTCTGGTTTATGTCGAAAGGCGTACCAGGCCATGAGGGACATGGGCCACCGCACACAGCTTGCAGGATATTCAATGTATCACGATTGACAATGTGTGTCCGGACGACATATTTCAGTTTGTTCACAGAGCTACCGGTTGACTTCGCCATGGCTGCATAATTAAGCCAGACAATATCGGACCATTTCTCAACCGGACAGTGTCGGCCAGAAATGGATACGGGACTTTCATTGTTTTCTGCGATTATCAACCCGGATTTGGGGCTCATAACGTTAATGTAGAAGGCTTGGGTTGCCTATACCAGAACAGTCAGATATATGAGTTATTTCGCCACAGAGCCCCGGCCTGTTTTGCGTCGGAGGAAATGATATTCTCACCTCGTGATCTGTCCTAGTGGTACGACCACCGGCGACAATCTCAGTCTCCCAATCCTCACTCTGTGACCAGATTTGTGGCACCAAATTGCCGTCTTTTCCGTTGTTTGAGCTGATCACAGTGGGTAGACCCATGGCAGACAGGGCCTCTCCTAGAGAAGCCATACTGTCGGGCTCCTTTCCAGCGCCCTTTCCGTAAGGGCGTCTGGTATAGTAGTCCTCTAGTTCATTGATGTTCGTCCAGGGAGACTCGTCACTGAGTTGCCACTTGGCTTTGCACCTGCAATATAACCCATTCCCCTTATTCACTGCCGTCTCAAAGTCAAGTGCGCGCGTTGCCAAGTATCCAGCGACAGCACGGGCGGTCAAATTGTTATCTGGCCATACTTCTGGGGTCACAGGAACAACAAGATCACGCGCATGGATCCGGCTAGGACCAGTGTCCGGAAGACTTTGTAGGATCTGGTGGGCCAGAAGCACGCACAGAAGACAAACAAGGCCCAGAGAGCCTATCCGGGGCAAGAGCTGGGCTTTCATCCTGAGAAAGCTTCGATCCCTTAACAAATGAACCACAGAAGAGATATGAACTCAGATGGAGAAAGAAACGCAAGGAAACATAAGAAATAGCAAGCAAGAAAAGAATGCCCAGCAAGGAGGGAATGTATATGAGCTGGTAAAGAAAACAAGGTGAAGCGAGCGATTGTCCTCAGACAGCGAAAAGAATGAATAGGTGCCGATTGATCCAATCCATTGCACTATCTCCGACTCTAATGTTGATTTAAATACATGTACGCTACGGCCAAAGATCGGTGAGTAGCTTGTACGATGGTCGACTGGCACTCTAATGCGTGATTGTTTTCCCTCCCAAAATATGGGTCGCCTTCCGACTCTCACCCGTAGTCCATTTGTCCCTTCATTTAATCTCCGGTCTACATTTCAGACCCCTCTATGGAGAAATCTGTGGGAGGCTAATGATGGATTTGGATAATGTAGCAGTGGTAGCGTCGCGACTCACGCTTGTTTAGCCACCGCAGCCTACTTCGGCGCTGTACGGTATGCAAACACCGTAGTTGGCGACATTTAGTCGCGTAATGAAATGGCTCCGAGTCAACTAATGCACAGTCGGAAACAGGACAAACTGGGCTTCGTCGTTCCGAATACGGCCGTTGAGCTCTAACGTTATTTATGGTGGATACCTGAATACCAGTCGGAGGTTCATGCTAGCAGTACGGAGTAGAGAGCGTCTAATAGTCTGTGGAGGCTTTTGTATTTAGCGGTGGTCCCTGACCGGCCGTAATTTTTGGTGGGGTTAGTATCACCAACCCCACTGCCATAGCCCTATCAGGCCTTGGCTCCCTCATCTCCAGAGGATGCGGGCCAGAAATTGAACCAGGTTTGGGTTCGGGGATACACGGGTCCTAAGGGTTCAGTGGCGCTTAGCGGGCTTTAGCAGAATTACCCCCTGCCACTACTGTGTACTGACCATACCAGATTGTCCTATCTACACAGAACGGACCTGTCCTGGTCCTGGACTCCTGGTGGAAGGTCTGACCGTTTTGGGAGGTTTCCGATCAATGGCTTGGTTCCTGGCTCGCAAGCGCAAACTCTTCCGGGAATGGCTGCCCCACTAGTATTCCAGTGTATATCCTCGTATATGGGCCTTCCGTAGTTTTGCGCAGTGTATGGAGTCAAAGAAACCGAGAGCTCTCTATGTATTTGGGACCTCTACTGATGGTGACTCCACTAAGGACCTAGCTAACAGATGGTCTTCCCAACCCGAAATCATGCCAATTTCCCGGCCCTTGTTGTGTTGTTCTAGTTGAGCAGCAGGGAAACTATCGCTGACGCGAACTTGCAATGAAAATCTTTGGGTCTCCGATGGCGGTATATAAGTCTCCCTGGCACTGCTGTTGAAGTTACTATATCGATACAATTACAGTCGTTCTAAATTCTTTTGTCACTCATTCGTCGTCTCTCCTTCTGTTTACTCCTTGGTCTTTGTTTAATTCGTCACTCGTTTCTTTTCCCAGTGGGTAGAGGATTTCCTGCCTGCCTGACTCCAAAAATTGTACCCTGAAAAGAATTGCAAATTGCAGCCTTCGACCATGCACTTTATTTGCATCTTTCTAGTCCTTTTATGGGCTCATCGGGTGCATAGCAAGGCTGTCTTTGCTCATTTTATGGTTTCCAACAGCGAAAATTATACGCAAAGTGACTGGGCCAATGACATCACCCTCGCCTTGGAAGCACACATAGACGCATTTGCCATGAACATGGCCTATGCTGATCCTGTTAACAGTGGGGCTCTCTCGGCCGCTTTCACCGTCGCCGATTCCTTGGGCTTTCGACTTTTCTTTTCCTTCGACTACGCGGGCAACGGTCCCTGGCCTGAAGATGAGGTCCTCGACTATATCAACACCTATGCATCCAACAGTGCCTATTATCAATACAACGGCCAGCCACTAGTTTCCACTTTTGAAGGGCCCAATAATTCTGATGACTGGGTAGGCATCAAGAAGGAGACCAATTGCTTTCTCATTCCAGATTGGTCCTCCCTCGGAGCAAAGGCTGCCATGAAAAAAGGGGTCGCGGATGGACTTCTGAGCTGGGCTGCATGGCCATGGGGTCCCCAGGAGATGAACACATACGTGGACGCCTCATACAGAGATTACCTCAGTGGCCTGCCTTACATGATGCCTGTCTCCCCTTGGTTCTACACCAACCTTCCTGGCTATAACAAAAACTGGATGTGGCGCAGCGACAATCTTTGGTATGACCGTTGGCAGGAAGTTTGGTATCTGCAGCCAGAATTCGTGGAGATCTTGACTTGGAATGATTACGGCGAATCTCACTATATCGGTCCCATTTACGAAAAGGCTCTGTCCCCTATGCACATTGGTGAGGCACCCTTCAACTATGTGGAAAATATGCCTCACGATGGCTGGCGTTTGTTCCTGCCATTTGTGATCGACATGTACAAACAAAACGTCACCACCGTCACTCAGGAGGGACTGGTGACATGGTTCCGACCACAGCCTATCGGGGCCTGTGATGGCGGCAATACAACGATTAACACTGCGAGCCAGCTTGAGATAGAATTCGAGCCTGCCAGTGTACTGACCGATGAGATCTTTTTCTCTGCCCTCCTCGGATCCAGTGCCGACATCTCCATCACTATTGGTGGCAGCCCCTTGAGCGGAGTAACATGGATGCACAAGCCCAGTGGTGGAGTGGGCATCTACCATGGCAGAGCAACTTATACTGGCACAGGCGCCGTCGTGGTGACCATCAGTCGCAACGGTGAAACCATTGCCGAGGTCACTGAAGGTTCCATCTCCGCCACATGTAATGACGGCTTTCAAAATTGGAACGCGTGGGTTGGAAGTGCCTCCTCTAGCAATACTATCTCGGCCAAACCTCCCTCCCTCTCCAATGATACTTGTGTCGAAGGCACGGGTACTGGTAATTTTGCCGGACTATGCGAATACTCATGTCAATACGGCTACTGCCCCGTCGGCGCCTGTTACTGCACCAAAATGGGCCCTGCTGCCACCCTTCCCAACGCTACAAACACCATCGGATACCCTGCGGCTGGCGAGGATGCCAATTATAGTGGCTTGTGTAGCTTCGACTGCAATTACGGGTACTGTCCTGACGGTGCGTGCGGCACAGTTGACGTGCCCTTGTCTACTCCCACCAGCTCACCCTTCACCCCCTCCGCTTGTGTGGCAGGTGAAGGAGAGGGTGGCTTGGCTGGCTTGTGTTCGTATGCTTGCAATTATGGCTACTGCCCCATCAACTCGTGCACGTGTACAGCAGAGGGTGTCTTAATTGACGCCCCGGCGGCAAATTCCAGTCTTACGGGGGTACCCGCGGATAATGTTGACTACAACAAGTACCATGGACTGTGCGATTTTGCCTGCAGTCGAGGATACTGCCCAGAGGGAGCCTGTGTTCTGTCCTCTAATGCAGGATCTAGCTCCTCTAGTGTGGGCCATGATTCGGGCTCCTCTTCCTCAAGTACATCGAATGCGACCGTGGTCTACATCGATTCCGGCGTGTGGCTCAATCCAGATGCCTCGTGCGAGATGCCTTGCACCATGGTGCTGCCCGACATTACTCTCACGACGACCACGACTATCACGCGGCCTCCGTATACGACAACAGTGGAAGTCCAGTGGACAACTACCAGTGTGGTGACTCAGGACGACGGCGATATTTCCACTGTCACCAGAACCAGCAAGGTGGCTGAATCTACCGTGGTCTCGCTTCCTCTTATCACCACCACCGGCTTTCCGGTTTCGAACTTGGTACTTCACACGGGTGGTACTTACCTCCCCACGCCGCGACTCCCTCCAACGACGGTGACAATTGACGATGACCCTAACCCCCTTGACGAGCCTGGTGTCACCCATACTCCCAGGAATCGCACGATAATCATCCCCCCATATCCCTGGGATACCTCCGTGTATGGCAGCAGCTCAAGTAGCGACGATGATCTCGTCCTTCCTAGGCCTCCATCGATCGTTATCACCGACGGGCCTACCAGTCCTAAGTGCCCAGGTAAATGCAGCGGCACAGTATGCAACGATCTTTTCTGTAACTGCTCCTGGGACTGTCCGCATACAGGCTACTCTTACGATAGCGATACCAGCTCGGGGACGAACAGCGACGGCGACGGCGACACCAGTGGCGACGGCTCCGATGGTGATTCCGGGAGCTCCTCTGGCAGTAGCACAAACAAGCCAGGATCTGATAACAACGGTGATGACACCAGTAGCTCGGGCTCTTCCAGTGGCAGCAGTGTTAACAACGGCCCGGACCCCAACGCGGGCAACGACGACACAAACGAAAAACAAACCGCGACGGAGACTTCAACCTCATGTACCCGGCAAACCGTCACTGACGCCTGGGTCTCATGTACATCTATCGACTCAACCTCCAGCTCGTGCACAACTACCAGCACGATGGTAGAGGTGGGCTGCTCGGTGACTGCAATGACTACGACCACGGGTGTAGCCGAATCCTGCTACTCGGTGTCCCCAGACGATGACCAGGGCGAAGACGGTGGAGCCTGGCCCGATAGTATTCTCTCCAGCATCAGGAGTTCTGGTTGGCCTGGATTGGCCAGTGCCATGGGTATCACCACAGACACTAGTGCAGGCACACACACCCAGGTGATCTATAGTGGTACGGCATCCGCTCTTACCCGCACCACCGCCACCACCACCACAGCATCCAAGACCTCCACATCTTCCTCCACCAAGAGTGCTCCCACATCCACCAAAACCGCCCTTCCAAAGTATGGCACTTCGTCTGCATGGGCACTCTTCCTTCGCGAAGTCGACTCCTCGTCCGGGGTCACCTACACGTTGCTAGCCCACGAGTACGAGGCTGAAGGTTTCGCCGAGGACCATTGCACAATGGAAGAGACCTGGATGGAGAGCGTCAACTCTGGCAATAAGGAGATCACCAGTTTGACGGGCCTTACAGCTTATGGGGATACGTGCTCAATGACGGCCTCCTATCCCGGGCTTGTCCAGGACGGTGATACGGTCGGCAAGCTCGTCTGCGACAAGTACGCTGACGCAACCTGCGAATACCGTAATCAAGGTGGAACATGCGAGACAGGCCAAATCCTCCAGACATGGATTATGGCTTGCGAGTGGTAAAAATCAGAGTATCATATATAAAATAAACATTTAATTTTTACACACAACTAAACCATGCCCCTTGCTATGTATATGGATCAATGTGTCATAAGTCAAATCGGTGAATTGATTTCCAGTTATCAATTAGATTTCCATGTAGTTATGCAGAGGAAGTACTTGGCCGTTGTGTGAATAGCTGAACAGAACATTCTGAAGCCTACTGCAAGGGTCGCCTAGAAGCCTCAGCTTCCAGATGTTCGTCGCCGGGCTTGATTACTCACCAAGAGCAATTTCTTGAAAGAAACGTTGTTCAGTCTTGAGGAGCGTTCTACAGCAACGAAAGCAGCAAACGAACGAACGAACATGAAGCAAAAGAGTGAGTTGAACTGAGCTATCTAGGAGAGCGAAACAAAGCAACGCGAAGAGGTGCTTTGTGTGGGCGGCCTGAGCGCAGCACGTGACTAGCCTACATGAATGCCTCAACATTTAGGCTCCGTGGAAGGCATAACCGTCGAACTGATTAGTTTTCGCACGCGTCCGACGCACCTGAACGAGTAGGCTACATATGCATTCAATACCTGCTACTTTCAACACTCAGCCGGCAACGTGTACCACTACTAGACTAGCTACGGATGAGCATGTGGAGATAAACATGAATGAGTTGTTCCTTACATTCAGGCACCCGAGCAGGAATATACAGTCGATGGCAGATACTTATATCGGTGTTCCTAGACGATTGGATCCCCCTCCGCTTTGATACCATGCCCATGCATAGTAATATATGCAGCACAATCAAGCCAATTGGAGATGTTCCGTCCTATCTTGGCAGAGGAGAGATTGCGTATACCGTCAGAGGTCGGATTGATAACCTTATTCGGCTCCACAAGATGCTCCCGATCGACATTAACAAGAACTGTGAGGAGGACAAGTTGTTTGTCCACGTGTAGCTTCCATGGTACTCTATGTTGTTGTTGTCAACCCCGCCAAAGCATTAGAGACAATCCGACAGATCAGTTGTCCCCCACTGGAGTCCTCATTGCTAGGGTTGGGGAAGTTACAGCTCCCGCAGAGGACTAATCCATCACGAGGCCATAAACGGCTCCACACTTCCTGAGCAATTATCAAGGATGGTGACGTGGGCGACAGCTTCACGGACCTTCCAGTTTGGACGGCAGGTTAGATAAATAGGCCTGTAGGTACACTCGATGTACCTTGAAGGGCAGCTCCAATTTGAGTCATTCGTGATCGTCTTGTTGTCTCCTCCCAATTACCTGCATAATGGCATCTATTCGACTTCTGTTGGCCTGCCTGCCGCTGGCCTTAGCCACAATCACCGTTTTGGATCCCAGCGACTACGCTGATCTGGCTGCCGACGCAACCGATAATACCTTGGAAGCCGACTACACCACGGACAATGGCGGGCCACAATACCTTCTGTACAATATCACAGGCCCCTACTACTATAGCGACGAGGATGGCGAAATTGACCACCAAACCTTGACGGTGGATGCGAACGATACCAGCGTTCTCGTCGTGACAGAAGGATCGGCAGTTAATGTGTCGTATACTGATGTCACCAAGAAAGGCTACTCAACCTGGCTCAATCAGGCCAGTTTCTTTGGGGTCAATGCGGCCATCAATGTAGCCAACGCCTCGACAGCCTACATTGACCACAGCAACATCACCGTTCACAATGGTGCGGCCAACATCTATGCCTATGGGACCGGGACCACCGTGTACGTGAGCAACACCGACCTGTACAGTTCTGGTCCGGTGTCCCACGGTCTCTATGCGGCCGGCAACGGGACCGTCTATGCCTCCAATCTGCGACACTATTCAGGCGGGAAACGCTCATCCTCCTTCTCGGGTGACAGCCCCGGCGGGTACATCTATGTCACCGATGCCATCGCTCACACAGCCGGGGTTGGCAGCGCCATCTTCTACACTCTTGGTGACAGCTATGGCAAAGATGTTGTTGGAAAGTCCGAGAATGGACCGAGCCTTTTCTCTGACGGAGCGCAAAGCTCTGTCTTCGAAAACGTCGATTTCACCGCTGGCCTTCTGGCAGGGACGGTCATGTTCTCGTCCTCTACGCGCAGCAGCGGGGCATCCCTGTCATTCTCGAACTCCCGACTCACTACACTGGGAGAGGATATGGCAGCGCTATGGTTTGGGAATCTGATTGCATCAGCCACGCTGCATGCGACCGAGCTGAATACCACGTCGGGTATTCTCGTGATTGCCAACGCCTCCCAGATCACTCAATCCTTCGATCACTTCGTCGGCTGGGAAGAGAATTCGAGCATTCAGCCTGCGCAAGCTACAGTGACGGTCACTGAGTCCACACTGAGCGGCGACATCGTGGCCTACAACGGCAGTTCCATCTCTTGGAGCCTGGCTGAATACTCTAGCTGGACGGGAACGGCCTCCACCGGCCGAGGGACTGCATACCTGGCAGTGGCACTCGACAAGACGTCCACCTGGACGCTGACGAAGAATGTCTATCTCCAGAACTTCACCAATGCCGATACCACCAACAGCAACATTGCGAGTCAGGGATACAGTATCTATTACAATGCCTCCTCCTCTGCGAATGCGTGGATCAAGTCCGCAAACACAACCCTCCCTGGTGGTGGGAGTCTGCAATCGTATTAGGAAGGTTACTGGCCGCTGACGGGTGGTTAGTGTGCTTTTGGCGTAGGCACGACAGATCACATTTTGTGATCACAAGGTTTGACAGTTATCACAATTGATGGAAGATGTAGCTAGTGGTGAATAGTCATAAATTTATCAAGGATGTCAGTCTTGGTTATCCAATGAAGTTCAGTTCTCAAGGAAAACGTGTAATAACGTCTGCAGATGCCCGGTGCGGACTGGACGAGAATAGACCTTTAGTTTCAAAGGCAGTCCTTCTGTGTCCCCCTGTGCCTTTTGATATGTTACCTATCTATTACTTGAGTTGTTTCATCGTAAGCCGGAGCTGTAGCTCGGCCCGACGTCCAAACAAGCCGCAGGATTGGGCTAGATTGCAGTGGCGTTGGTTTCCCGACTCTCCAGCCGTACTAATAGACTTCACGTGCCAGTAGCCACGAAACCATATTACGCAAGCTGTGATAATAGACGATTTGAATTTAATCTGGCCGACACATCGTTACCGTCGTGGGCAGCCGACCCCATACAGGTCGCTCCCTGGTGCGTGGGAGTCAGAGGCCGGAAGAAGATCCACGCCGTGCTAAGAGGGCACTCGTGCTGGGGTCTGAACAGCTACCAGAGTAATAAGTAGTTGCCGGCTTGCCCCCCTCTTTTTCAATACGGACAGAAAGGGGGAGGTGACATTGCAAGCCGAAGTGAACTGGCCGCACCCGAGATCTCCCCCACAACCCTATTTTTCTTACCCCGGATTTGGACTCCACATCCCTTGACAGTCCACGTCGATCATTTGGTCTCTGACATCTGCACGAGCCACGAGTCAAGTGAGGGGCCCAGCCCGCAGCTTATAAGGAGCTTGGCCAGGAGGATCTCCTCAGTATCCCCACCCACTACATTACCTACCCGACTATTGTAAGAAGACGACATCACTCCATGGAGATCAGAGACCCTAAATCCTCGGTTGGGACGGTGCAGAAAATTATGGATGAGGATAACCATCCTCATCGTTCGTTGGGCCATGTTCGCCTGCGCCATCATGAAACCAACGAGGTTATTCTGGTCCCTACTCCGTCGGATGACCCAAACGATCCACTACGATGGTATATATAATGCTCGCGCTTGCATATAGTTCGTCGCTGATATCTTCCCCTAGGTCTACCTCGTACAAGATCTACATTGCCATTCTTGTCTCTCTGGCCATGGTGATGTGCAACTTCATGTCCGCCGGTCCGACCGTCGCCATGGTGGATGTCGCGGCCGATTTCAACTCGAGTGTGTCTCGCGCAGCCTACTTTTTCAACAACAGTGCGCTGCTGCAGGGCGTCTCCAACTTGATCTGGGTTCCACTCCTCAATAAGTATGGTCGGCGGCCCATCTACCTATCAGCATACCTGCTCTATTTCTTCATGATTCTGGGAGCCGGGTTGGCAAAGACCTATGCCGGTGAGCTTACCACCCGTACCATCCTGGGTGTCGGTGCAGGGGCAGGAGAGTGTCTGGCCCCGGTCACCATTGCCGATGTCTTCTATCTCCATCAGCGCGGTTATGGCATGGCGTAAGTGAACGATGTAGATCAATATGCAAGCTCTGAAGCTGATTCTTCTCCACTCACTAGAATCTATAACTCCGCTTTGAGCGCGGGTGTCTCCTTCGGCATCATCATCTCTGGCCTGGTGACGATCAATCACTCCTGGCGTGTGATATACTGGGTCGGCTGCGGACTTGTCGGTGCTCTGTGGATTGTGGTTGTCTTCTTCTTCCCCGAGACCGCCTTTCGTCGAACAGATAATGCGGATGATGTTTACAACACGCAGAAGCATGCCGAGCATGTCGAGTCCCGGGGAGAAGAGAGACTTTCCCGCAGACAGAGCTATCTGCAGAGTCTGCGCTTTTGGTCCGGTCACACATACACAGACGAATCCCTATGGCGGATGTTCATCCGACCTTTCGGTCTCATTCTGCTGCCTCCGATCTTCTGGGCGACCATCGTCATGTCCGTCACAATCGGCTTCCTCGTGGCGGTCACATCAAACTTTGCCACTGCTTTTAGCGAAACGTATGGGTTTGCTGCCTGGCAGAGTGGATTATGCTTCATTGCCGGCATGCTGGGCTGTTTCTTCGGTACCTTTGCGGGAGGGCCCTTTTCTGACTGGGTGGCCGATTATCTCACCAAGCGCAACGGTGGTATTCGAGAGCCGGAAATGCGTCTGCCCGCTATTATACCTAGTGTGATCGCCGCTCCATTGGCGCTACTGCTGTATGGCTTTGGCATCGATCGCGCCTGGCACTGGATTGTGCCAACGATTGGTCTTGGATTATGTATATCACCCCCGTCGCACCTATGACATTAACCTTTGCTAATGCAATTACACAGTATCATTTGCCATCAGTCAAGGGACAAATGTCTCGTTCGTGTATTGTGTTGACGCTTACCGACCGGTGGCTGGTGAAGTCGCCGTCACTCAGCTGGCTTTCAAATGTAGGACCCATCCTTCTTTACTCTATGTTGAGGTAACCATGTCACTGACAGCTCAATAAGCTTGCTTTGGGTTCCTGCTATCTTTCTACACCAACCCCTGGATCGCCGAATCTGGCTATGCGGCCGCCTTTGGCGCCATGGCGGGCATCTCGGGGGGCTGTCTGCTGTTCTTCATCCCGTTGTATTTGTGGGGACGGCATATTCGCATGGCATCGATGAAGTGGCCCTTTGTTCAATTTGTGTTCTGGAAGGATGATCGGGAGGTGGGAGAGTAAGGTGCCAAGTTGGAGAAATTTGAGGAGTGAATATGGCCTTCCTTTGCTTCCAGACGGATGAAGCAGTTGTAGCGCCTTCAATCGTGTGTTTGCTTCGACCATTCTTCCCTGAACAATATACTATCATGTCCTACCCCATGGTCTGCGACCATCATAATCAAACCAATCTTCTAATGGACGCTATGCGTTACTTTAAACAGCCAGAAAATCCCTTGCTACGTTTGGAGCTCAGCTTATTCCACGAGCATTATGGATCAGGCCAATCTGTGGATAGATCCCAGTCTTTCTACGCACAAGCCCTCCACCAGGCCCACGCCCCAAATCCCACACATGTAATCCAGTGTCCAAAGGCCTTGGTCTTGAGCGCCTCGCCCCCATTCGCCCAGACAACGAATCCATCGGCAAGTCCAACCAGCGCGCAGACGCCGGCGAAGATGGTAACGGCAGTTTCCTGACCGTAGTACTGCAAAGCAAGCAGTGTCAGACCGTAGCTCGTCTCGCGAATGCCCTTGATGTACATGAGGGGAGAAACTGCGCCGGGTGGAGGGGTGCGTTTGTTGCCATGGGTCGAAGCGGAAGAAGCGGCGGGTTCGAAGGGCAAGCCGAAACGCGGATACTCGGGGCCAGGGCGAGCCAGCGCATGGCAGCCCAGGGCGAGAGTCAGGCTACCCAGGATGTAGGCCGGGAGAGGACTGAAGGTGGTCATGTCGATTGCCGGTTTGGAAAAGGTCACGATCGATGGTATATTTATCGGAGTCTAAAACACTCATCGAGCGGGTCAGTTTGTTTCCACTGCGGGGAGATTATTTGGCCGAGGGGAAAGAGGAATATTGTGGCTGGAATGACACTGAGTGACCCACCTTCGCGCCGGGAAGTGAGCGTTTAATAATCCTCGTGGTAGGCACAACACTCCAACTGTGGACTATGAGGGTTGATTTAGAGCACAGCTGACCGTCAATGGTGAATGCTTGAATCCGGAGGAGATGGAAAAGAAAAGAGAAAGACTTTCGTCACCATGTTGGAGCTGGTGAGACCTAGGCAGTAGTACTTAGTAGGGTAAGTGTACTGGACTGGGATCACAAAGCAGCTGACAGCGCCAGTCCCAGTTAGGATTAGTGCTGATGTCCGGAACAATCATAGGGTTGTGATTGGTGGGTATCGGCGGCGCATCCCGCTCTCCTGCCTGTAGGCCTCAGGCACGCAGAACAATCACTCCCTTTCCAACACCGCTTCAACATACTATTATTCCTACATCAGTGAAGCCAATGATGCACGAAAATTGTAGCCGCTGATATATTGCCAAGCTCCAACCAGCTTCACTGTCTCGACCATTGAAGTGTGAGAAGTTTGAGAACTCCTCCTTCTAGGAGCCAGCCCTACTAACAATAGCATATATATCGAGCGTTACACTATACTAGCTACCAAGCACAAGGCTAGCAGCCAGCATCAACTGCCTGGTAGCGGTCGTAGCAATCATTTTCATAAACACCGTATCTTTTCTTATTCAATATTGGTTACTATAGGATTGATTGCCGGATTCCTCGATGCTGTTTGAAGTTACTACCACTACTTCTACTTTGGTACAACCCGTATCCGGGATAACCAAATCCGGAACGAGATCGGGGAGCCGAGGCAGACATCACGTGCTCAAGTGACATTCCTTTCCCCATTTTGGCTGGTTGTTACAAAGTACTTAGTACTCGTTCGTACTAATTTACGCATCTACGGTGAAGATTTTCATCATGTTGGAGATCTGGGGATCGGAGATCCCATTTTCATTTCATTAAGTACAATATGATCGCAAATAACCATCAATCTTGATAACAATACTAACAACAAACAGTTTAACGCCTGAGTCATATCACTCCATCACGGAAGAAATATGAATATGTCTTCCAAAAAGAAAGAGGAAGTCTTCACTGCACATCCACACGCGTCACCATCACCACATCCGTCTCCACCTTGGGCAACTTGATGATCAACACTCCGTTTTCCATCTCAGCCGTGATGCCTTCGACATGCACCTCCACGGGCTGGAACACACTGCCCAACCGCACCTGGCGATCGAAAGTCCCCACGCGACGTTCATCCAAGGCCAATGTCTTCAGCAATTCCTCATCGCCAGGGCGCTCAATCGTTCCGCTGACATTCAGCTCGAACTTCTTCGGGTCCCACTTTACTTCCACCGCTTCCTTCTTCGCCCCGGGCAGCGAAACATGCACTATAAAGGCCTCGGTAGTGTCGAATACATCCACCTCGGGGTGGAAAAAGTCGCCGCGCTTGTGATGCTTACCGTGACGATGATGGCCGAACTCCTTGAATCCAAATGGGCCAAAGCCACGGTGCGGTCCGCCGCGACCACCATGCTTGAAGCCACCGCGCATGTGTCGACCCCCGTAGGGTCCAAACCGACCATGCGGCCCATGGCCGAAGCCGCCATGGGGGCCAAATCCTGCGTGGGGTTCCTGAAACTCAGCCCCCCAAGCTCCAAATGCTCCGGGATGAGGGGGGTGGTCGAATTTTCCCCATGGACCGCGCCCGTGGCGACCGTGACGCTTGCATTTCCGGGGCTCATCATGGTTTTCCTCGTCGGAGGAGGAAGAGGAGGGTTCGTCATCTTCGGCAGTCTCGGTCTGGGTAGGTTCTTCGTCTTCAGTCACAGGCTCTCCGCGGCGGTGGCGGCGGTGGTGAGGGCCATGGCGGCCACGATGGGGCAGATCAAAGTCTCCAGCACCAGCAAAGTGTTCGCCATGTGGCATGTGGTTGTGGTTGTGACCGGCGAAGAAGGGGTGAGCAAAGCTTGGTTCTTCTATGCTGGCGACGACTTCCCAATAGGGAGGGAGTTGATTGAGATCACGGATGTTGGCCATGTTGATTCTTGTGTGAAACTTGTTGTGGTTTGGGTTCGTATGATGATATGAGTTTTTAGCTAAAACTGGAGTGTCGGAATGTGTAAAGAGGAGGAGAAGGAATGATGAGAGGGTATAGAATGAGGGATTGGAATAATTGTAGTGATGAAGGGAACGTTATCAAGGTAAGCTGTCCGCCTTTATATAGATCCTGTTTCAGGCATCCATAATAGCTACTCTACATGATCTACGCCACAGACTTTGATAGTCGTCGTAATCCTTCCTCGATTGGCGTCGCCACAGTCCGGAGATTAGCATATGCCGACTCGGATATCCTAATGCCCTTCGGGCTTTTCCCAATACGTCACCGCTACTAACCCGATAGAGTATGTGCTGATGAGTCATTATCGGCTTTGCGGAGCTGGTTGCCCATTTAAGCAGCCGAAGCTTTAAGTCCGACTGTGAATTGCTGCGCCACAGCCACAGCCACAGCCTTATCCCCGCAGCCCGAGTCTCGCGGCCTCTGCCGGTGGCGCTTCATGTGCAACACTGCAAAGGATTGAAGCTCATAATGGCTCCATTGGACCAAACCTTGCTTTTTGCCCCATGAGTCATGAGCTACACAGGTGTTTTATGTTAAATCAAGCATCTGACGCTGCGGTTCTCAACGTGGCGCCGTCGAGACCACTCTCTTCGGGTGGTTCCTCTCCGACTAGTCGTCGGACTAGGCTACCACCCCAACCCTACCATGGTTGATGGGGCCTTCAGCCTTATCGGTGGTTCTGTTCGGGCTGTTCGGGTCCCGAGGGGCCGGTCAGTCATCTTTGCATTGTCATATTTTGCAGAACAGCTATGCGCTCTGGTGTCAGGACATACTTTCGATATGGCCTGTTAGTTACAAACAATGTAAGTAAGAGCAAGCCAGTTTGACCCATTGAGCGACCGGCTCAGGGATTGTGACCAGCGATTTACGCTTCAATTATTACTTATTGAAGCTGTCGGCAAAGGTAAAATGTGTTGGCTACACTGCAAATCGAGCAGGGTGGGCTTGGTATTGAGAACGTCGTATACGATGTCTCTGACCCTCAATAACGATAAGGTATGTGGGTAAGTAGTGATCATTTTGAGGATGACAGTCCTCATTAATTAAAGCAAAGTACGAAACTATAGTCATCCAATAGGCTACAACTTTTCCCTTGGTATGGACACCATATCAACCCTGGCAATTTATACTGTCCCCAACCAATTTCCATATTTACGTCTACGACTGTATCCACTAGGGTGAGAGAGAGGATAAGCTAGGATTCTTCAGTCATTGAGTAGTACTAATACGCTATCTTGCATGACGTGCGAGTAAGCACTTAGCCCAAAGTGGATGTGCCAATGATGCCAGAGAGATAACCAGCTCACATGAAACTGCTGCCTATCAGTGTAGGTTATGATAATCACATTTCTCGCAAACAGATTCAGGTGGTGAGATATTCTTGGTTCTATCAATTATATTGTCCTCCACCGATACCAGGACGATCGAAAAAGCCACAGAGAGCATGGATGAATGGAACGTTCTAACTGCAACGGCAACGCAGCTTAGCCAGTTGCTGTATCGGGGCGACACTACTAGTGTGGATATCGTCAAGGCCTACCTCGCTCAAATCGACCGGCACAATAGAGCTGGCCTGAACCTGCATGCAATAATCTCCGTCAATGCCGAAGCTGCTCTTGCTCAAGCAACAGCCCGCGACGCCGAAAAATCGCAGGGCAAGACCCACAGTCCACTTCATGGAATTCCGATTATCATAAAAGATGCGATCATCACGTCCGAGTCCCTAGGTTTACCTACCACGGTCGGCGCCGCTGCGTTCAAAGACACATATGGACGGAAGAACGCATGCATCATAGATATACTCCTAGACCACGGCGTGATCATCCTCGCCAAAGCCAGTCTAACGGAATTCTGCGGCCTGAAGGCGACCTGCATGACCGCCGGTTGGTCAGCAGCAAATGGACAAACTCAGTCAGCTTATATCAAGGGTGGTTTTCGATCGGACGATCTGTTTATCGGTCGCTCTGGACCGGGAGGCTCCTCGTCCGGGTCTGCAGTGGGAGTTTCAGCCGGCTTTGTGCCGTTATCGCTGGGGACGGAAACTTCGGGTTCAGTCTGCATGCCGGCAAATCGGGCGGGATTGTACTCTATCACTGCCACTCGCGGGAGTGTCCCAATGGACGGAATTTTTCGCTTAAGCAAAGACTTTGATAAGTTGGGTGCTATAGCCAAGTGTCCCGAAGACCTGGGTCTGTTGATGCCACTGCTCAATGGCACGCGCTTGGTGTCTGCAAAGTGGAGCCACGTCTCGGTCGGATTTGTTAATCCAATTGTATGGGATGCGTTTGGATTCCAGAAGACCCAGGACAAATATGTGGAAAGTCAAATTGTGAGTCCCCTTTTACTCTACGGTTCAGGCTGGCCATACCTGATGCTTGATAGCTCGATAGGTACGAATGGGCAAGAGCGCAAATAACTCTCCGAGGAGGCCGGGTTGTCTACCCCGTAGATTTGCCGACAATGGAGGGCCTTCGATTTGAAGGCAAAAGCGTAAACTATACCGTTGCATGTACGCTTATCGCCCCCCACGAATGGTTTTCTATTATGACTCACGAGTATTACAGTTCATGAATTTCCAAGGCTATTTGAAGAGTATTGCTCGCTCCTAGTAGACCCCAAGGTCACATCAGTTCCAGAATTGATCCAATACAACGGAGAACATGCATCTTCTGCCATGCCGCAGCGTAAGTAATCTCACCACATCTTTGAAAGTCCGAATACTCATATCTCGTAGCACATACGGATCAAAATGACCTCGAGGAGACCCTCAAATCAACATTGACAGAAGAGAAAGCTACGGCAGCCAAGGCCTACGCTCAACACTTGGCCGGTCCCGACGGCATCGATGCGACACTGCGGGAAAATCATATCAACCTGATAATTGGGCCAGGTGATTGTGCAATTTGTGCAGTGGCGGCTCTTGCAGGCTATCCCACTGCCATGGTTCCACTTGATCGCTTGGAAGGCCCTGGTGGGCTGGGCCAGCCTCAGGGGCTAATGCTGATAACCAGTGCGGGTGGTGAAGCACAGATCTTGGCATTCATGCAATTGTGGAAACAGGTTGTGGGTGATTGGAAAGTCCCCTCTTTACTGCTCTAATGGGAAGTATTGGGACCAAGCCCGTCTTGTTCGTCTGACCTTTCTTATGTGCTGTTCTGGATTGGTCATCATCAACTTATCGAGGGTCGTATGGAGACGATAGAAAAGCGGCTTTTTGGTAAAACTTGAAGAGTAAAGCAATCCCAAATATTGTATGATATCATGGTGCTATTCGCATAGGGATATTATAAAGGGCCATGAGAGCTATCGATCCTCTACCTCCACTGTAATGTCAACCGTCATTAACACTCCGCCCCCCTTCTCTCCATCAGTCAAACGCTTCGTGCTATCACTGAAGCTCGACCTTTTGATGGTCGACTTCCTCTTCACAGACACAACCGAGTCAATCGTCGCCAATTCTTCTGTGGGCCCTTTCCCTTTACTTCCATGACTTCCAAGTGTAGAATTATGTCCGTATGGATGAGTATGTTTCAGCTCGACCTCATCGGGCAGTCTGGTTGTGATTAGGCCGGAATGTAAGCCCGCAAAAATATGGTACAGCGTGGGTAGGCAGACGATGGTGACGGTTGAGCAAGTCATGGCTTGTTGGCAGATCATGGGATTAACGACGGTCCCTAGATTCGAGGTAAATTCAGTATGAGTGGGTGGAAAGGAAGAGGACGGTACTAACATGTTATATCTGTCGAAAGAAGGTATGATGGTAGAAGGGCAAGGTATGCAATGGCCAGTGCTACTACACTGTACCGTTGGTCAGTGGCTTATAATTCCTAGAGATTGGATGGATGGGCAAGGTACATTATGCGCGCTGAGAAAGCAGCTAGAATCTTCACCCTTGTCGTGAGTGTCAATTGGACATTGCGCATCATAAAGAATGGAATGACCACGATGACAAGTTCTGTTATTATGTGTATTATCGAGATAGGATAGAGAATCGAGCCCTTATGTACAGTCAGAACACACACATCCATAAGTTTTTTATAGTATGCATACCTTCCCAACACAGTGAGAGGAGCTATAGAGCCAAGGGTCAGGCATCTTGCATTGGAATGCAACTCCAAAGACGGCGAAAATGGTCCAGGCCGCTACAAGGCCGACGGTGATGCGACAAGTCTGGCGGATGCCGCGATGGGGAGTCAATTTCCAGACGAGCAGCGTGGTAGAAATTTCGGATAATGAGAGGACAATGACATGGAGAAGCTGCGCAGCGTAGAGGTACTACATCACAGGTTCAATTTCGGTGACTGCTCGTTGGAAATGCTATGGAAAGAACTAACCTTGCTAGCTGTCTGGATGGCTGTGTCACTAAGACTGTCAATATGTCGACCTATCCCACTGTCAACCCCTTTTTGTATCACTATCACCTCGACAACTAGTAGCGCCTAAGTACAATGACTGGTTAGAGGATTCTGTGCTCCGTGGGCCGTTAACCACCCACCAGAGCTAGCCATACGGGTGTATGGACAGCAGACCGACGCTGTTTGAAGTAGAGCACCGAGCATAGCTTTGCTGCCACAAAGATAATGGCGACAATCAAAAGTGCAACAGATACGAGAGTTATGAGTGGACCATGATTGTCATCTGAGAGTGTCTCGAAGGGAGCTTCGGTCTCAGCCATGATCACGGTGATGGAAGGACATAATCAAATAATCAACAGGTTAGAGACGCAGTCGGATGACAGAGCGGATTATAGCGAAAGTAAAATTTCGAGAAGAGGATATCTGTTTATTGGCGCAGTAATCGGAGTATGCTTGGCTACCGGGATCATAATCCCTGTCGTGCTGCTCGGCGTGTAAACGAGGTGGACGAGAACTCATGTCGCCGGTTCAATACTAGTCCCCTGGAGCCAGGCACCAACAATTGATCATACCATCGCCCTGTGTTCGATGTTGCGGAAAGACTTTCCATTGGATATTACGTTTTATTGCCACTGTCGATATGACTAGCACTTTCAAACTTTACGATTGTGGCCAAGGAGCCTGGCTGCTATCTATGATCCAGCCCTAGTAATGGCCCTGGAAAGTATGGATTTTCCCCCGAGATTGCTCCGCTGAAGCTAGCTAATTATTTTCTCGCAACGGATGCACTCATTCTAGGCGCAATTTATGCTGTGGGGGATCAGTGGTGGATTCTCGCGGTGGTCCGAGCCCGGAGATGCTGCTAATGCACCCTAAATGCCTTCCGTGCCGTTAGTCCCATTAACCGGCGTCGAAAACCCATGTCACTCAATCTAAACGGCGGGGTCGCCCTCATTTATTTTGATGTTCTTGTCCATTGTTTGCTGAGAATGTTATTTCGCTCAAACGACAGTTGCAGATGGTCGCATGCCGCGTCACCAGAATCGGCCAGAGTGTCTGCAAAGACGCAGCGCCATCATTCCACTTCCAGACAATGTCCGGACGGTTCCCTGAATCTGGCCTGCATGGTATCCCTGCATTTATTTGAGCCTGCCCCGAAGTCGGACGCCCAAAGTTCCGAAATTTTTTTCCAGTCTTTTTGGTGTCATTCATCCCTATCGAGAGGAAATTGCATTTTGGGCGATTCTTCCATCAGCACCGCCACTTCATGCACTCTTTTCTGCAACCTGATATCATTGACACTGCTTGTATAAGATGCTAGATGAGGAGGTTGAAATGAAAAGCGGCAGTGCCGTCCGATCCACGGTTGCTGATGGAAGCCCGCGTGGTGCTGCAAGCAGCAGCGTCGAGTACCGTCAGCGACAGAAGCTAGACGTATATGATTGCCCTCATCTGAATCACACCCCAGTTTGCGCATGCTAACCTGGTTCTTTCCAGCGATACTTGAACTTCTTCTCCTCTCTGGCTTTCTCTGCGACTCTTCTGGCGTCGTGGGAATCGGCTGGAGGCAGCTTGCAGGCCGGTCTTTTTAACGGAGGTCCTGCTGCCATTGTGTATGGCATTATCATCAGTGGTGTGGGGAATCTGGCAATCGCCACTTCACTTGCTGAACTCGCATCAGTGTATGTAGCTCCTGTTAACTAAAGAGTTGTTTCAAGAAAATATTGCTGATCAAACAATTCGATTCTCCAGGCACCCGACGGCTGGGGCACAGTATCACTGGAGCTACGTTCTGGCACCACGCTACCGGCGCTTCATCAGTTTCTTCCAAGGTTAGACCTTCACAGTAAAGTCCGTATTGTGGCTGGACATAATGAACTGACTAATCGTGTATCTTTACAGGCTGGGTAACCGTATGTTTGTTGATCCCTCGAGCACTCTACCCTTTCTAACTACACCCAGTTCTTCTCATGGGCTGCTCTGGTCTGCATCTCGCCCTATTTCATCGGCACCGAAATCGAAGGAATGGCTATTCTCGCCTATCCAGACTATGATGCAAAACGGTGGCAGGGAACTCTGCTCATGTGGGCAGTAGTCCTAATCCCGATCGTCATCAATATCTTTGCCCGGCGCCTGCTCTCCATAATCGAAGTCGCAGCTGGGGTGATGCACGTTGTCTTCCTCCCCGTGATGATTGCGACATTTGTTATTCTGGCCCCGCGCAACTCCAATGCTTTCGTCTGGGATACTTTTGTGAGTGGCCTCAGTGGCTGGGAAAACCCAGGAGTCGTGTATTCCGTGGGACTATTGGGCGTCATCACCCCCTTGAGTGGTACCTCTACTCCGCCCTGACCATACTACGAACCAGCTAACCAATCTTTTAGGAGTCGACGGCATCATCCACATGTCGGAGGAAGTGAAGAACGCTAAAGTCGTTATCCCCCGGTCAATGATCTACGGCACCATAATCAACTCTATCATGGCATTTGGCTACCTCATCGCCGTCCTTTACTGCATGGGCGACTACACCGCTGCCCTCACGAGCCCGACAGGGTACCCCATTATTACCATCGCCTACCAAGCTACCGGCTCCAAAGCGGCCACATACGTGCTCATGGCCATGGGCATGCTTCCGGGTTGGATTGCGTTGTTCAATGGTCTTGCTTCTGTCACCCGACTTACGTGGGCCTTTGCACGAGACAACGGGCTTCCATTTTCTGATTTCTTCGTCAAGGTTGATCCACGATTCAAGATCCCGATTCGGGCATTGTTCCTTGTCACAACATTGGTTATTCTTCTCTCCTTTATTCAGATCGGGTCATCGGCCGCCTTCAACGCTATTCTCTCCTTGAGTACGTTAGGATTATACATCTCATATCTGATCCCATTGGTTCTTCTGGTGTGGAAACGGTTCACCGCACCGAAGGACATTCCACAGGGGACATTCTCTCTAGGAAAGTGGGGTCTGCCCATCAATCTGGTAGCCATCCTTTTCGCTACCTACTTCTCCATCTTTTTACCCTTTCCGTCTGAGGTGCCGATCACTGGGGAGACCATGAATTACGCTGGGCCGGTGTTGGGCTTTGTGATGCTGTTTGCCATTGGGGACTGGCTGGTGCGAGGCCGCCATAAGTGGAATGGCCCAACAATGGCGTATTCGCGAGAGTGAAGGGGTTCCCACTGGTTTGGATATAAAGGTGTCGAGGTCATGAGGAGGCAGTTGCATAGTCATGCTCATCACACAGTCGATACAGATTGTACTCAATGTATATTTATCCACACACTCCTTTTCAAAAATATATTATTTGTGACAATTATAGGAAGTCTACTTCAGCACGACTGTTTCACGACCTAGAACCACTAACAAGCAGTTATCCTAGCCAATGCGTATGTAAAAGTTGAGGTTGGGAAAATTACTTGGTTGGAAATACCGCCCCATTTTGGCATTGGGTACTGTACTTCAAGATTAGTTTCAGCCATATCCGACCAGCCCAGCAAACCTTCAGCTTGCAAGGCGTACATCTTTTGTATTACAGTTTTCGCTCATAAGACCAGACTCTCGCTTAAACCTTTATCCAATCCTCGATGGTCTAACGGTCATGATTTCCGCTTGTCAATCCCTTTCGGGATCAAGCGCGGGAGACCTGGGTTCGACTCCCAGTCGGGGAGATTTCTCTTTTTTTTTTTTTTTTTTCTTCTTCGGCAGCAAAAACTTACTGCGACCACTAATTTTAGCACTTTATCTTGATTCTGCTTTTCTTCTCTATTCTTTTGTTGTGGGGGCTCACAGATTAGGCTGTGTAGGTATAACCGTCTTGATCGGTGCCCGGTTTGCTATATATGACCTATCTCCTTCACATAATGGGACGAAATGACTTCATTTGGCTGATCTGCAACTGAACCGAGTTATTGGGTTTATTCGGATCTGCCATTTATAAACATTTTATATCTAATGATTGATGAACTTTCCACTGCCCATTAAGTATTCATAATGTACCACCCCGCTTGGACGCACCCGTCATCTGAAGTGTCATCCTTCGACGTCCAGATAGCTCTGTCGCTTGAAGGTAGGAAGCTGCAGCACCCTTTCAACCCCGGCAGAGGTTCGGAGCCGGCGGCTGTACATCCCCGTGTGGCTACAATTTGGATGGTCAGATTTGCAGTAGAACAGCCCAGACTTGTTCGGGTACAGAGTTTGATCTTGGTGGGGAACAAAGAGACCCTCGTATTCGAGACCGGGTCACTGAGGATTAAGCTCAAACAAGCATTTTGTTCGAAATAATTAAGCTTCGCTCGGCAGCGATGCGGAGAATCTGGCTGGACTCCTTCTCTGACTCGTAATGAGCATCGTATCCCAGCCCAATCCACACACTCAGCAGCCATGGTCGTCTGCTGGGATTATGGTATATTTGAGATCCCCTCCCCTAGTTTGTCCAGCTGCAAAATCCCGCGAAAGCACTGCAAAAGGATAAATATCCCACTACTGAAAATTGCCATCAAAACCACGTCATCAGAATGCCTTTCGGTACCTTCGAGCTCACTGGGGATGCCATCCCTCAATACGCACCACCATATCCCACCGGAGACTGCGACTTCACCGGTTCCACCATCCTAGTCGTAACCTACCGTACGACCGCACACAGCGTCGCTCCCTTCGTTCCCAGCATGCTTGAACTGGAGGACGAGCCCCTCATCACCGTCCGCCTCCTCCGACACAGCATGACTTCCTTCGGCCCATACAACGAGTACACCCATGGCGTGGACGTGCGCTACCGCGGAGAGAAATATGAATACTTCCTCTCCCTGATCCTCGACAACGAGTCACCCGTCCTAGCTGGCCGAGAGCAATACGGCTTTCCAAAGAAGTTCGGCACAGTGGAGTTCAACCCGTCTGAGCCATGTGGGACCCGAGTGATGCGCGGACATGTCGAGCATCCTCCACACCAGAAGATCCTACAGATGAACTATAGTCCTGTTCGGAAGCAGGCAGTCCCGGATGTGGGGATGACGGTCGAAACACGCTGCATGAATCTACGTGTGCTGCCTTCGCCGATTGCGGGACAGCCTCCGTCTGTGAGGGAGTTGATGCCTCTGGCACTTAAGATCACGGCGAAGGAGATTTGGGAGGGTGAGGGTTCAGTCTCGTTCCCCGAGCCGTCAGAGGTGGATCCGATGCATCGGATTGAGATTATGCGGTATGAAAGTGCGCATTTCCTGCGGGAGGCTAATCTCTGGCTCGGTCCGACGGGGGATGTTTACTCTGTTTAGGAATCGCATGCTACTTATTTATGTGGGTAGGGTGAAGCCGGATCGACACCAGGCATCTCTGGTTCCTTTTTCCGATGCAAACCCTGTTTAATAGCCCGCCAGAAGGTATCCAGTGTGCTATCATCAATGTATAACACTCCCAGCTATGTTTTTTAAATTGAGTACGGACAGAAGTCTCTTTGGCAATGTAACGAGATGCATAGATCAGTGCGTCTACATTTGTAGGCTGAGTAAAGCCCTCTAGTGTGGCTGGTTTCTAAGGGCGAGCTACCAAATCCGTGATTTGTTGCATGGTAGTTCTTTCAATTGATATTAAGCGTTGACAAAATGCTGCGGGTTTATTTTTTATAGCCCCCTTCAAGGGATAGGAGCATAGTAGCTAAACTTGCCAGTAGGGTCATACTTGGCCTTCAAAGACCGCAGACGCTGCTGACGCCATCCCTCGCTGCCATACAGCTGCTGGGGCGTCTCATCGCCATGGGCATAGTTGACATACGCGCGGATATCCTCGCGATCAGTACCAGCAAAGAGAATGTTGCGCAGCTCCTGGCCCAAGTTAGCCCCGCGGCGATCAAGCTCGGCGCCGTCAGGGAAGTAGTTGATCATGGGAGCAGCCAGCACGTTCTCATTACGGAAGGCGAAAGCGCTCGACCGGCTGTCGATATCGTGGACACCGCCAACAGAGTATCCCTCGAACATGAAGATGGAGTTGTTGAACGCCGAGGAGCCGCGGGTGGCATTGGCGTAGACGTCCCATGCCGTCTGCTGGGCAGTGACGTTGTACGTTTCGAGGTAGATCGGGTAACGGGGGTTGGCCATGCCCATCTTCTGGCAGGGTGCGGAGTCAACAGCAACCTCGGTCCATGCGGCGAGATCCTTGTATGTGCCGTTGTTGGGCGACACGGAAATGGGTCCGATCTTGCGGAAAGGCGCGGTGTAGACGGAATCGACGGTTTTCACTCCCTCCTGGATGATATAGAAGATGATGACCGGGTTGTTGGGATCGGCATCTGCATTGTTCATCCAGTAGGACCAGTTAATCACGCCAGCGGCCTGGGTGCCGTTCTTGATCAGGTAGTCATTGGCAGCCTGGTAGACCTCGGCAACCTTGTCGCCACTGAATGTCAGCGTTTCGATGGCCCAATCGCTGTATTCAATGTCATAGACCTTCATAGTGAGGGAAGTGACGATGCCAAAGTTGTGGCCTGCGCCCTTAACAGCCCACCAGAGGTCCGAGTTGGCGTCGATGTAAGTCAGGGTGCCGTTAGCCAAGACGATATTCATCGAGACAAACTGATCCAAAACGAGGCCGTGGTGGCCTTGGAGCCAACCATGTCCACCACCAAGAGCAGGACCGACAAGACTGACACATTCGCACGTTCCAGTCACAGTCTGCTTTCCTGCGGCCCAAAGCTGATCGGTGACCTCCTTGGACATGGTGCCACCTCCGATCGTCGCGGTCTTGCCATCAGCTGCAACCTCGACACTGCTCAGCTGGCCCATGTAGATAGCGATGCCATGAGTCATTTCGCCGAGGGAGATGAGTGCACCGTGCACACCATTGTAGGTCAGGAAGGGAACATCCTTCTGATTGGCGAATTTCACCTGCAGGATCAATTAGCAACTCCTTAAGTCACATTATTAGAAATATGAAAGGCACAGGGGAAAATAAGAAGGGGGGAGATAGGCAAATCAAGGGATGGATTGGAAGATTGGAGACATACAATTTCGGCGACATCATTTTCGGTGCCAGGAACCACGACAACATTAACCTCGGGTTCATCGAGAACGGACCACCGCGTGGTGGCATTTGTGAATCCACTCGAGCCCGGGAAATAGACCTGGGAGGTGTTGGACAGTCTACCCGATAGAGTCTTGAGGTCACTTTCCCAGCTGGAGGAGCGATGGATTTGCTGTGAGACCGTGGCGAATGCCCAGGCGGCGACGGCCGTGAGCACCTCCATCTTGAGTCGAAACATGGCGCCAGAGAGAGAGAGTTCCCGATCGGCAATTGAGATGCGGTGGGAATAAAAAGAAAAACGATGCAAAAAGCAAAAATAAGAACAAGGGGACCTGGCAAGATGACTGGCCACGCGACCGCCCTTCTGCTGCACGTCGGAGGACCTGGGGAATCCTTGTCAGATGGACTGACCCTAACCCAGCAATTGGGGCACCTCGTTTATTTCTAGCATTCCTTCGCCATGCGAGATTACGGAGCACACTAATCTGACTTTGCCGTTACTCTGCAAAGTGAGACAAGCGTCATATGATACCCAGGGTGTAGCTCCACTCGATCGCTGTTTTGCGATTTTCCGATCACAAGTTATGCAGCACCAAAGAGCGCCGCGTGCGGTCCCTGTGCAGTCTCTCGGGCCATCAGCGCTCGCTTGGGGAACCGGTCGGTCCATCCCGTCCAATCTGTTTGGTGTTCAATTGAGTACGTGAGGGTAATATGTGGGTCGAGGCAGCGTCGGGGATCGCGGGAAAGCTGGAAGGTCGGAGGGACTAACTCTCTCTAGGGCTTACGGGTGGGCCCAAATAGACTCTGGGGTGGAGCAGGTCAATATATTCACGCTCCAACTTATTAAAAGAATCGGCCGGTCGCCGTTCAAGAAACCATACCCCCTGGAGTCTCTTGATGTCAATTGGGCAGCGAGAATGTTCGGAGTAGGAAGGAAGCCTGGCAAACCTTACTTTCGCTGCCAAGGCTCTCCTTTGTGGGAGTAAAAAATTTCAATGGCTGCAGAACTCACTTTTCTGCCTGGGCTACAGGAGGTCTCGCTGCATTTTCGGTCGGGGTGGTAAGAGGTGTGAACTGTTCCGGGTATTGCAACTACGCCTGCCTGCATTGGAGGGCGGAGCCCGCCTGTTCAAGATATGTGGACAGTCATCGATTCGAGGGATGAGGCATCAGAAGCAGCCTACAACAGCAATGTCCAGCTATGGACCCTCTACGGAATCGGCTGTGTGGTGACGTTACTTAGGACATATTCACAATGCAAAGACCTGGGCTGGAGAAGATTGCGCCTTGACGATTATCTGATATGGGTTGCTATTGTAGGCACCAAAGCTGACTATTTTTTCTTATTTGTATCTGGACCAATGCTAATACACTCGCTCTCTGTAGGTATTTTACACTGCGCAAGTGGCATTGGCGTATAGTGTCGGAAATGCAGCCCACGGGCTCGCAAACAACAGCATGACAGAGGCCCAGAGAGCTGCACTGGCTCCAGACAGTACGGAATATCGGGAAAGGTCAGTTGTTTCGTACCGATTAAGTGACTGGACGTTGACAGAGGTGGTCAACAGGATAATTGGCTCCAAGATACAAATAGCCGGTTGGGCCACATATACAGCGTTGATAAGCTCGCTCAAGTTGTCAATGCTAGTGTTCTATACCCGACTTATGGTAAGGCTATCGATGATCATCCATGATTCAAAGGATAGCTGACCCGGTTACAGGATGGTCTCGGCCGTCGTTATCGCGTGCCAATATGGATAGGATTCGCCCTTGTTATCGGGAGCTTCATCGCCTGCATGATCACGATTCTTGCGGCATGCCGGCCCTTCAACAAGAATTGGCAGATCTATCCTGACCCCGGCAGTAAGTTCGTGCCCCAAGATCCTAGATCCGGATTTTTGCTCATGGCTACTTTATTAGATTCCTGTCAACCTGCCATTTCCAAGCCGGTGATCGCCGCAACCTTTGCAGCAAATCTCGCCACAGATCCATATCTCGTTTTGATACCAATTCCCATGCTTTGGAAATCCAGTCTCAAGCTCATGAAAAAAATTGCGGTGACAATAGTACTTGGCGCGGGGATATTTATCTTGGTGTGTGCGACAATCAAGAGTGTTTTCCTGTTGGTGGTAAGGCATTAGCCGCATCCTTCGCTTGACATACATGCAGAGTTGTGGCTCATTTCTTCCACAGGAACCCAATAACGGAGCATCGATAGCAGACGAATGGGGCACACGAGAGACATTTGTTGCCGTGATCACAACGAATCTCCCGATGGTTTTCCACCTGTTCCGAACCTGGCTAGCCCGGGGCTTTGGCAGCGCCTTTCAATCATCTCAGCGAACCTACCAGCTCCCGTCAGGAGGATTCCAGAACACCGGTGGCGGGACGACTCGGAAACGAGGGCGGGGAGGCACCAGCAGCCGGGATCCGATTACTGTCGGCTTGACATTCACCGAGAGTGAAGAACGGATGATGCAGGACATTAAGCTGCAGACGCTGGAACCACATGGAGGACCCACAGCTGGTGCTATTATGGTCTCGAACCAGATCGAAGTCACCCATCAGACGCGAAATAGTCATGCCAGGGAACCACCTGCACCGGGGGAAGTGGTAAATTGGTAGCATTCGGACCGTCAACCGAGAATTCCACACCTATTTTGCTTTGAAAATAAGTTCGGAAATGCGTAATCTTCAGTACAAGCGGGGTGCTCTTAATTAAGCAGAAGAGACTGACTGGTGAGGATTTTTGGCCCTAGTGACGCCGGCGTCGGCGGACTTGCAGGCCACTAGCGGATGAACTCCGGTTTAGCCTCGGAAATGATATCCCGCGGATTCCAATAATCACTTTCCCCTTGTATCCGCACAGTCCAGAACAGCGCACCGCCAGAAAGTGGCAGGACGCACTTTCTTGAAACGGTACTGCGCTCGGTAAAGGGGCTTTATGGTCGTAATGTCGAACAAGCCTTGAGACTGCCTTGTACGCCTGTTGTTCAGAGTGGGCTAAAACATCCCAGGCAACCAGCATGAAATATCCCCAAAGCAACTAGTAGAGCAAAGGACGATTAGGCTTCTCGAGTCAAGGAGAGTTGTAAGCTGTAACAACAACAGGAGTCCCACCTTACTGTTGGCTGAATGGTTAAGTCTGGAAAATAGTGAAGAAATAATAAACTCTAGACTTTTCTTTAAAACGAGCAATGTTCTAGAAGACAGGCTAATCTAAAACACGCTTGATAACAAAGCTTCTGTTTATTCATACATGGAGTGTTATTCACACATTGAACTCGGTATACTGAAAAAGACAGATCTTGTCTATAGTTCTAAGCTCTTACTGGAACTTCATGCAGTCTAATGATTGGCCACTGGGAACAATGGGGACCATTTCTGTCTCCGCGATTAGCACGTCGAGCAGAGCAACTCCATCACAGCGTAGAAGCCAATCAATGCACTCGGGCAAGTCCTCTTTGAAGAAGCAGCGTTTTCCCTGACAGTTCATGCTGCGCGCGAGTCGAACAAAGTCGGGGTTGTCTTGCCGGGCGTAGC